ATACAAGGTATGAGAATCACAAGCCCTAGGGTGAGAGCCTGGAGGTGTGAACAGAGACATTTTCTCCCTGAGCTGCAGGCACCAGGGGGGCTCTGAGGGCTTTCAGCTATGGTGACGTGTGCCCCGAGGCCAGGGCCGGGGGCACTGTGGGTCTGCCCTATGTCCTACACACAGCAGTTCAGTGAGGATTTCACACCAAGGAGTCTGGGCTGGGGACTGGGTCTTGCGCTCCCTGAGGGGAACTCAGCAGCTATGTTCTCTCTTGCTTAGTACTCTCCCTGCACAGGGGTCTTTGTGCGGGGGCCAGCAGGTGCTTCCTCCCAGGGGTCTCCCGAGGGTGAAGCAAACCTCCCTCCTCATTGTGGGGTGTGAGCTGAGCTCCAGCACCATGGGTCAGAGAAGGGCTGGGCAGCCCCTGGATGGAACCCCATTTGCATGCACAGCCCCTCACATGACAGAGGGTGGGGAAGAAAAGGAGGTCTGGGGCAGCCCAGCCCCATGCGGCGCTCAAGGTCTGTGAGCACCATGGCCTGGACTCCTCTTCTCCTCGTGCTCCTCTCTCACTGCTCAGGTGGGAACAGGCCTCTGAGACCCGGAACTATCCCTAGTTTGAACCATTACCCCTGATCCCACACCCATCTAGGACTGATCTTTGTTTGCATGCGTCCGTCCGTGTGTGCTAATTCCCTCTCCCAGCCTGTGCTGACTCAGTTGCCCTCCCTCTCTGCATCTCCTGGAGCAACGAGGTTCACCCGCACCCTGAGCAGATTTCAGTGTTGCTAGTTCCTGGAGGCACCAGCACCATCAGAAGCCAGGCCGCCCTCCTCCAAATGTACTGTTGTATAAATTCAGCTCAACAAGCACTGGACTCTTGGTCCTGACATCTAATCTGGAGCCAGACATCTCGGCCAATGCAAGACTCATTTTCATTTCTGGGCTGCAGCCTGAGCACAAGGCTCACTGTCACTGTGTGATTGGACACGGTGGTGCTTCTCACCGTGACAACCAGCACATCACGTATTGGGACAAAATCCTCCCTCTGCTGAGGCTTCTGGAACATACTCCATCGATTTTCAGAACACGAATGTCCACTTCCTCTAGGTCGTAAAATATTCTGATCACAGTGGCCTGCTTCCCAATTCCCCACCCATTGTTTCTGAAGTCTCAGGAAAAGCAAAACTAAATAAAACTGAAAAAAAAATAATGCTTATGACTCCACTGTGTCTTTGTCAGTTGATTCAGGATTGATCATTTCAGAGACTGTGTTTCTGGAATTCTGTGTTGTCCAGAGAAACATGAACCTTCCTTCTATTTTTTCAAACTGAAAAGAAGCCACTGTCCCAGTGGCCATCAGGTCCCCACAGCAAGGCAGGCCTCGCCTCTCCCAGGTTCCAGTGCTCCAGGGACCAGGCACTAAGGTGTGAGAGTTTGTGTGAGGGCCCCAGAGAGAATTCCAGCACAGAGTTGTCTGGAATCCTGGCCATTACCTGAGCTGTGAAGTCAGGGAAAGTGGGTGGCATGCTGAACATGCCATATGGAAAGGCATGGATTGAGGTTGTATCAGGAACTTACTTCTGGGTCATGAGAGTATATGTGATGCTGATCCTATTCTGGAGGGGCCTCCCTGGTGGCCTAGGGGTTAAGTCTCAGTGCTGTCACTGCTACGGCCTGAGTTCATTCCCTGGCCAGGGAGCTGAGCCACATAAGGTGCAGCAAACATCTCCTGTCTCACCTGCTGTTCTGCCTAGCAGTGTGTTGCATTCAAACCACCTGTTATGTTCTCCACTGTGTCTCTGGTGAATCCTCTCAACATCTGCACCTCTGGCCTAAACTTCAGTTCTTCTATGCAAAAATAAATAATAATAATAATAAAACATATTCTGGAAAATGATAATCTTGCTCTGGGGAAGCAGGTGAAGTGGTATCTGGATGAGATGCTCTTATAGCTGACACCATGCGGGACCCCTGGGGATTCCTGAGTGGTGTCCTGAGCATATAGGGACCACCCTCAGTGGTAGAGCACTAACCATGGGAAAGAAGTGACCATAGTAAACATTCATGAAACAAGCAAAAAGGTGAGACCAAGCGATGGTGTTGCCAAGTTCAAAACAACATCAGGGTCAAGTTTAAAAAACATCAGGGTATGGGCCTCCCCTGTGGCGCAGCGGTTGAGCGCTGGGTTGCGAGGCTGCCCGCAGCCTCTGCAGCCCGGTTCGATCCCCGGCTGCTCCCTGGCCACCGGAGGAGGGTCCCACATGGCACGCAGACCTCTCCTGCCGCCCGCTGCTCCCCTCAGCAGTGTACTTCGGTCCTTCTGCCTGCTCTGCTCTCCGCTCTGGCTCTGGTGAATTCTCTCACCCTCCTGAGCTTCTGACTATACCCACGGCTTATATGAATAAATAAATAAATCTTTTAAAATAAATAAATAAATAAATAAAAAACATCAGGGTCATTCATGGTAAGAAATGCTAGAGCACACAAGCCCTCCCAAGGGGATCCACTGCAAATATCAACACACACACACACACACACACACACACACACACGATAAATAAATCAGGTAGGTAGGGAGAGAGGGGGCTGGGGATGGAAATGCAAACAGGAGAAATCACACTTTCCAATGTCTCCTGAGAAGGTTCCTGGTGGGCCAATCGGTGGCAGCAGCACAGATGCCCAGAGCTCCTCAACACAGCCCCTCCCATTGCCTATCTGATCTAATGCATTGTGCACTCTCACCTTCTGTTTCAAGGGTCCCCTGTCCGAGAGCGTGACACTTCCTTTACCTTGAGGGAGCTTGGATTGCTCTGTGCCTTGACTATTCTGTGCCTTTCACCCAGAATATAGAAAGGAAACCTTTGAGATGAGGAACCTCTCAGGGAAAAAGTCCTGGTATAATGATCTATGCATGCTGAAAACAGCAGCAGATGGTATGCTGGGAGGAGCAAAACACTGAGGTTTCCCTTGACTCTCTCCCTGATTTCCCAGACTTAGCTGGAGCCAGATGGGTACACATTCCCCACGTATTTATGCATTCCCGCATTTGCCTGCTTGCTTCTTTGATTTTTTTTAAATCTTCTGCTTGATTCTAAATAAAACTGAGAGTGCCCATGGAGCTGGGCTGCCCCCGTGTGCTGGAGCCCCTCTAGGCTTGTCAGTGTTCTGACCCAATGGACTCTGAGTATTCTTTTTTCATCCTGTGCCACACATTGTAATGAGACATTACCTGTCACTTAGCCCCGACTCAGTGACTCCAACCTTCCACTTCTCATCTCTGGGGGTCTCATTCCTCACCCTTCACTCCTTCATCTCTCCCTCCCACCAGGTCTCAACTCCATCCTCACACCCTGCCCTCATCATGCAGACCTACCAATTAGTGCCCAGATTTCCAGCCCCCTGGGCAGCGGAGGTGACTGGTGGGTCAGGAGCCGCAGAAGATGAAGAATAGCCTCTTGTCAATAACATCTCCCTGTTTCTGTTGATGGGCCGGCACAGCCCACCAGGATTGGACCTGACAGGGGAGGGTCCTGAACCCTCAGTAGGCCTCAGCGGGTGTAGAATAAATGGTTTTCAGGCTTTTCTGCCCTCCCACCATTAGTATTGCCCTGCCTGATGGGTCACCTGCAGTTGTTACATTGTTGCAAGCTATCTTATTTACTTCTGTGGGCAATGTGAGGAGTATTGAAATAGTCACCCAAAGAAGCAAAAGCAAGAGAGAAAAGGGGAGAAAGAAGCTAGAGAAGCCCAGAGTGAAGACTTGCTGGGGGCTTGGAGGCCTGCTATGTACCTGGTCGCTCCTCTACATGTAAAGCTCAATAAAAGCCTGAGAAACCCACTGAGGACTCCAGGACTGCCCCTTTACCCTGTCTGCCAGATCATAGATAACCTGCTCAGTGGCCTTCCTGCCTCTACAGTGGGAAAGTGGGGTGAGAGAGGCAGCGCACCTCCACCTTCCTAAACAACGAGACTATGCTGGTGTCAGTCCTTTGTCCTCTGCTGGACTGAAAGCAGGACAAATTCTCCCTCAGGGATCAGTTTCCCAGCTCACCCTCCACTATGAAAACTAGTGAATGAGCGTCAGGGAGCCCAGCATCTGAGGAGACCACTGCTGGGAACAGCAATGGGGGTTATTTAACAAACATGAGACACAAAGAGATTCTAAGGCCACAGTGGTCAGCTAGCTCACCAGGGATCGTGTCTACAGTGTCCAAAAGTCCCAAACAAAAGTCCATTCATCCAAGATGGTGCTGTATCATTAATGAGGGCCTGGAGCATGTGGCATACCGGCCAGCAGCAGGCCAGGATCCAACTCAGGGTGGCAGCTGGAGATGCACAGCCCTAGGCACACAGCACAGCGCTCAGCCTGTGTCAGCCCCTCTGAAGCACTGAGCATTTTCACCTTAGTCCTGACCCATCATCTATAAGTATCTGTATTTGCAAGTTCCCTCCTGACTCTGCCAACCTCCCTCTCTGCTTCCCTGAGAACAACAGCCAGACTCACCTGCAGCCTGAGCACTGTCTCCAGTGTTGGGACCTGCAGGAGATACTGGTACCTGCAGAAGTGAGGGAGCCTCCCGGACATCATCTGCACTAGGACTCAGTCGCAAGTTCAGTTGGGCTCCAGGGTCCCCAGCTGCTTCTCTGGAGCCAAAGATGTCTCGGCCACTGCAGGCCTCCTGCTCATCTCGGGCTGCAGCCTGAGGACGAGGCTGACTGCGGTCGGAATGTGTGAAGGCAGCAGTGGGGCTCACATGGCAAGTAAATATCTCCTTTTGGATATATTCATCTATCCTAGGAACCAGAATTATTTTATTTCCACATGCATAAAAAGGCTTCAGTTGCTGGATGGGCATGACAAGAACGGTCCAAAGGCAGCATGTGTGACCAAGGGGGGACCAGTGGCCTCTCCCAGCCTCCTGATGTCAACTGGGACCATCCTGGGCTTTTCTGAGAACTCCCTGAGCTCAATTTTAAAGACTGTTTTCCTGAGAAAGGAGATCATCATGGCGGCAGGGAAACACTGCCAGTAAGTCCTCCCATTAAAAAAAAAAAGTTAATAGGGTGGAAAAGCGGCAGGTCCCTGCGAAAACCAGGACACAGAAGACAAATGGGGACTCTGGCAAACTTCCTAAAGAGGAAAGTATAAGGTCAAGGCTGGGGCAGAGATGGGGTAGAGGAGGGGGAACTTGAAACTGCTGCCGCCTGCATCCAAGAGCCAGCTTTGCCCGGTTTGCACAGGCCATGATAAGCAGCATTGAAAGAACAACCAGTTATGAGAGAAAAAACATCTTTGAAAAGCAACTTTGACTCTGCATTCTCCACCTCCCTCCAAGGCCAGACCCTGCCCTATACAAGCTTGCCCTTATTCCCCAACCAGTGCAACTTCTCCGACCCCTGCGGGGGTCAGCAAACCTCGCCCGTGAGCACAATAAATTTCTTGCCTGTGAGAAACTTAGCCTGGCTCTCCTTTTCTTTACTGCGCCAATCCTTTCATCTTGGTGCCGAAACCCAGGAAAGCTGTGTCGCCTGGTGCTGGGACAGCCTTCCAGTCCCTGGGACCTCGCCTCTCCATTGCAGATGCCACACATCCACCACCAGCCTTAATTCTTGGGGTAAGTCATCAATCTGACTCCCCTTCCTATGAAGCCCTAGGTTATGTATCTGGCCTTAGTCCCAGCAGACTGAGGTTTGAGAGAAGGCATCCCAGTGGAGTAGCCAGATTAGGCTTAAAATTTGCAGACCTCTGGCTATCCAACTCCTCTCCTAACTCCCTGCTTTGGTTGGCTGTCCTGTAAACCATGGGTCCACATCAACAGACTCCCTGTTACACCTAGACTTGGATTTGGGGACGCCCATCCAGACTAGGTGCCCATTTTAAGCCAACAGGTGAGCAGTGGAGACGTCCCCTTCATCTGTGTCTCCTGTCCTGTAGGCAACAACCAAGAGGTGGAGATGTCCCCCTCGCTTGTTTGCCCCCTGCCTGTTGGCCAGAACCTAATCATGGATTGCCGCAATCCTGGGTCTGTGCCCCTGTAGGCCAGGTCAGGCTCGTGGGATGCTGCGTCCTGACACTGTGCCCCCTGTTGGTTGGGAAAAGGAACTAGGTTAGCCATGGGGTCTGCAAATTCTAAGCCTGATCTGGCTACTCCACTGGGACAACTTCTCTCAAACCTCAGTCCGCTGGGACTAAAGCCAGATACATACCCTAAGTGACACATTTTTCTCTGCAACACTCCCTGGCCTCAATACCAATTGGATAATGGCTCTCACTGGCCAGAACACAACTCTTTCAATTTCACACTCCTTACAGACCTAAACAATTTCTGTCACCACAATAGAAAGTGGTTAAAGATCCCCTATGTCCAGGCTTTCTTTTTCTTGCACTCCAGTCCCTCCCTCCCATCCATCCCTCCAAAAAACCTGCCACACTTTCCAAGTCCTCCTTGTATGTTGGGCTGTGAACCTCAGGAGCTCCCGAATGTCGTCATGAGTGACTCCCCTGTGAAGCTGTTGAGGAGCCTAATACCCAGGTCACCTTCTCCTGCCCAAGGACTAGAGGAAACTTAGGGGTCCCCATAGCAATGGCACCAAGGGCTCCCAGACAGAGGGTGCAGCTCTGTGAATTGGAACAGCAGTGAAGGACCTTCATGGATTTGAAATTCCCCTGTTTTTTTTTTTTTTCCTGTATGCAGGTTTGTTACTAGAACCTCTTTGACCCTCTCTGGTCTTTGGTTTGAGGGCTAGGCTGATTTTCATGGTTATGGTTGTGAACACAAGCCCAGTGCCACGCAGCTCTCCTACGTGGGAAATGGAGGAGATTGCACATCACAGTGGATGCAGGGGATGGAATTGCCTCCATTCCTGGTGCCCATCACCCCGTCCCTGCCTCTAAGCAACATAACTCGGGTTTTCTCTGCTGTCACTTGTCCTACTGACCAGTGGGCTCCATGTCCTCAACTTTCTGTTGTTATAGGGTCAGATAAGTACATCCTTTCCAATATATTTCCCTCCCAAATCAAGCAAAATTATTTCATTGCCAGAACAACAGTTCTTCGCTCTTGGATGGGAGTGACAAAATGAGAACCAAGGCAGCACGAGCGCCCCGGGAGCCAGTGTCCTCTGCCAGCCCCTTGACATCACCTAGAGCCATCCTGAGCTTCCAGAACTCCCCAAGCTAGAAACCTTCAAGAGAAAGGATTTCTCTTTTTCACCTGAGGTTAAATATTTGCGAAATTCCAGATTCCCCAGGAGGAAGGCAACACCCTCCCCAACATCGAACAGGTAAACAGACCATTACCAGGAAGATGTGCAAATTGTAATTAAATGTAATGTTCAAAAGTGTAAGTTACTTTGAAGATGCACCTGTAAATCATGAAAAGACACTAGTCTCCTGGCTCAGACTAAACACAGTGACATCATTACAATTAGTCCAGGTGGGGACAGCAGAAACTGTCACTCATAGCTAGTGGGAAGGCAAATGTCACATTCACCTTTGAAGCACTGTGGCAACTGAAGTCCCACATGACTTTAGAAATCATACTCTTTAGCTATTTCCTAAATCATTGACTTGTGTCACATAGAGTAAACACATAATTTTGCTGAATAATTCACAATTGTGAACACATGAAAGCAACCAATATGTCTTTCACTAGGTGCTAGATAACAACTCTCGCATACCCACACAATGGAATTTGAGATCAGACCACAAAATGCAGGATGCTCACATGAATAGTTTTCATTAAAGAAGCCAACTTAACAAGGCAAGGTTTTGAGGAGTGAATGATGGGGGAAGAACTAGACACTGACACCAGCCTCAGCACAGGGCCACCTTGTCGCCTCCATCCGCAAGAGGGCGCAGGTCTGCCCGGTTGCTGAGCTGGGAGCTCCTATTTCCCCTGCCTCTTGCAGGTGTTCTGTGTAACCCTCCCCAGTTCTACTATGTTTTCTCAGCTGGTGCCCAAGCTTAGCTGAAGGAGGGGCTTGCTCAGCCTCCTTAAGGGGGAGATTTGCATGGAGACCTCCCACCCTGTGAATAAGGGTGAACCAATGGGAAGGTGGGCTCAATACTGCAGTTGGGCTCAGGAAGCAGAACCTGGGACATCTCCACCATGGCCTGGGCTCAGCTTATGCTCACCCTCCTCGCTCTTTGCACAGGTAGTGCCAGCAGGGAAATCTGGGAGGACACCTGGGTGCCACCCCACTGACAATCTCTCCCTCCAACCTGGGTTCTGTGTCATTTCTGTCCTCATGTTCTCTGTGTTGCTCCTTCCTTACAGGCTCTTGGGCCCAGTTTGAATTGACTCAACCGCACTCAGTGTCGGGGTCTGTGGGGCAGACGCTCACCATCTCCTGCACGCGCAACATCGGTGACATCGAGAGATACTATGTGCACTGGTACCAGCAGCGCCAGGGCAGTGCCCCCAGCACTGTCATCTATAAGGATGACAAAAGACCCTCAGGGGTGTCCAATCGGTTCTCTGGCTCCATTGACAGCTCCTCAAATGCTGCCTCCTTGACTATCTCTGGCCTGCAGCCTGAGGACGAGGCCGACTACTACTGTCAGTCTAGTGATGAGAACTATAAGCTCACAGTGCTCCAGACACATGGGGAAGTGAGACCAAAACTCCCCAGCGCCTCCCGTCCTGGGTGTGCCCTCCACTTGATGCTTGGGGAGGGGAGGAACGGGGAGGGGGGCGGTTCTCTTCTGTGCCTCCGGTTCCAACATTGGTTTGAGGTTTTATGTTGTGAGTCCCTCTACCATCTTTCCAACACCTCTACCCCCCACCTACATCTTCAAGGATGATTTTCTATTTCCTTTGCAATTACTCAATGGAAGTGATTTATTCATAACATGGTCTCTGCACCTCAGCTCTACTGACAATGTGGGGGGAGGGTATTCCCTCTTGGGGGCCTACTCATGCAGGGAGGACTTTCACAAGCATCCTGAAGCTCCACAGAGCACAGGCCAGTGACACCTCCTATCCATGTTAGGAGACATAAAAAATCTCCATATGTTCCAAATATGCTCTGGGCGACAAAATCATTTGAGGTCCACTGTATTAAAAGCATATGCTGGGTTATCAGACCACTGGCATTGAGTCCGTCTGTGCGATTCAGCTGCACAAGGTACACGTGGGAGCTCTCTGTGATCCTGGCCCAGGGTAACAGACAGGCAGCGCCTCAGCACTCAGTAAGGTTAGAGCACCATGGCCATATGCATGGAGTCCTCTCTCAACCAGAGTGTGGAGTTCATGGAAAATATGCAACTTTTAGAAGGATCATTTGTCAAAAATCATTAGGAGTTACGGTTTTTGAAATCATGTTTAGAAAAGAATCCAGAACACATCAATAAAAAAAATAAGCTGAGTCTCATTTAAAAAATTCATTTTGTTCTTCATTTGCAACAAGTGAATAAGAATACAATTAAATTACCGAAAGAAAACAGGAAAAAGTCGATTTAAAAGAGAATAGCTGGAATCCATTTTTTTAATGCACATGAACTTTGAATACTAAAAGTAGGTGCCTGTTCTAAATTGCGCTGAAAGAAGGGACATGATTCTTGCAGTATCTTCTCTGGGCTTATCAACAATTTAAGACATTATTTCTGAACATGTTTGTTTCTTCCTTGAAAAAGACACCTTCAGAGATGAGGAAGGAGATGCTCACCTTGCACAGTAGAATGGGATCTCACTGTCTAGGAATCAGGCCCTGGGTGTGCGACTAGAGACAGTGACCTGGGAGCTGCAGACCCCAGCTGTGCTTTCAGGGCTTAGCAGTATGGGGCGCTGTGGGACTGCCCTGTGGGGACCCCAGCAGTTCAGGGAGGATCATTCACTCTGAGTAGCCTGGACCTAGGGTCTGGGCCCTGGGGTCCTTTAAGAGGCGGGTACCCTCTGGTCTGATACAGTCCCCTGATCAGAGACTGTTGTGTGGTGTCAGCGGGTGCTTCCTCCCAGGGCTCTCCCAAGGGGTGAAGCAAACCTCCCTCTTCTTCAGTTTGAGGTATAAGCCCTGCTTCAGCACCAGGACTCGGCAAGGGGCAAATGGAACCACATTTACATGCACAGCCCCTCCTGTGGCAAAGAGTAGAGAAGGAAAGGAGGCCTGGGTCAGCCCAGCCCGATGTGGGCCTCAATGGTGAGCACCATGGCCTGGATTCCTCTCCTCTGCTCCTCACTCACTGCACAGGTGACCAATATTGGGACAGGGTCCAGGCCCTGGGAAGATGCATGGGACCCTGGTGTAGGGGCAGGATAGGGCACAGAGCAGGTTTCTAGGATCTGAACACAGGCGGGTAAAGGAGGAGTCCTGGAGCCATTGGTGGGTTTCTCAGGCTTTTATTGAGCTTTACATGTAGTGTGGCAAACATGTAGTGTGGCAAACAGCAGGCAGGGGTGCGGGGGGTGGGGGTAGGTGGCCGGGAGGCCTCCAAGCCCCCAGCAAATATTCACCCTGGATTCTCTCTCTCTCTTCATTCTCCTGCCTCTTCTGCTTCTCTTGGTGACTATCTCATTACTACCCCCAGGGCCCCCAGAAGTAAACAAGACAGCGTACAACAACTACAGGTACCCATCAGGCAGGGCAATCCTAATGGTGGGAGGACAGAAAAGCCTAAAAGCCATTTACCCTACACCTGGGTACTCCTCCTGTCTCTAGCGGCCAGCCAGCATCACCATCTCCCGTATCTCCCCCTTCCAGAATCTTGGTCTAGTCTGTGCTGACACAGCTACACTCAGTCTCTGGGAACCTGGGCCAGAGGGTCACCATCTCCTGCGCTGGAAGCAGCTCCAACATCGGGAGTAATTATGTGCACTGGTTTTAACAGCTCTCAGCAACAGCCCCCCAGAGCCTGATATATGATAATAACATTCGACCCCCAAGGGTCTCTGATTCAATCTCTGGCTCCAGGTCTAGCAGCTCAGCCACCCTAACCATCACGGGGCTCCGGCCTGAGGACGTAGCTGATTATTACTGCTCAAGTTGGCACAGCAGTCTGAGTGGTCCCACAGTGTTCCAGGCCTGTGGAAAGTGAGATACAAACCCTTTTCTCTTCTGCCAAGAGCAGGCACCCCTGGCAGCTACTGCTGAGGCTCAGCCTGGGGCTCTGCTCCTTCTCTGCTGCTGTCCTGGCCCAGGCTCCTCCAGGGCAGACCCTGGGTGCTGGGGGCTCCCTCCCTCTCCCCTCAGAGTCACACCCAGCACTAGGTTCCTAGGCAAGGAGTCTTCAAGAAAAGAGAAATTCCTTTGTTTCAGGAGCAGTTTACTTCTAAGGTGGCTTGGATTCATTTATTTCCTCATGACTTTTCATTAAGTGAAACATTCCTTGGACCGTGAACCTATCAAGAGGCCTCAGCCCTGTCGTGGCTGCTCTCAAAGGATTGGTCTGTACAGTTTGCACCAGATTTTATTATTTGCTTCATTGAGACATTTGCCTGGTTTTGTTTGACTTTCTGAGTTTGAATTGTTGATACAGAAAATAATGACAAATAAGAATTATTAAAAATTGGAAAAACTTTTCCTGTGAGAAAACTCTTTGTGAATATTTATAATATTTTATTCATAACCAGCAAAAAATGAAAACAACCAAAACTCTTCACCTGGATGTTTGTATCAGCTTTATGCATCCCAGCCTCCCCGGGAAGAAGTGCGGCAGTCTCCCTGCAGGTTGTACATTTATAGGACGGGTTGTTTACCGACTTGAGAGGAATGAACTATCAGTCACAAGCACAGATGTTAACTTCAAATGGATATTTCTTAGAAAAGAATAATGTCTAAAACACTATATAGAGCAGATTGTTATTCATCATATCCTGCAAAAGCAAAATCTAGTGAAGGTGAAATGGAGAGCCTGGCAGGCAAGCAATGAAGAGGCTGGAGTGACCAGGGAGCACTGATGTGGAGAGGGGAGTGTCCATGGGAGGCCATGTTGAGCTTCATGAGGCAGATAGTTCAGGATTATTTATAGATATCTATGCACACCTGGATAGAAGAGTTATTTATTTTTTCTGAGATGTTATTAGGTTGTGACTTGAATTAAAACCTTAAACTCCAATTCAAGAAGAATTTTTAAAATATGCTATTTTTACTGTTATACAGTTCCATTTTTAAATTCATATTTTTATAGAATTTTGGGTTAGTGATTTAATATATACTGTCTGTGCTGTCAATCAAAAGAGAGATAATCAGCCCTAAGGACTATGTGCTGGGCTCCAGATAGTTTCTAAAATCTGTCTCCAATATGGGAGGAGGAACTCTTTGGGAGATGGTGATTCTCAGAAGAGGCAGGAATCACTCATGATGAAGATAGAGCAGCCTGGAGTTCCATAGAAAAGAACCACACAAACGAACACAGCTCACACATGTACACACCTGTTAACAGGATTGTCACACATGGACACACCTGTTAACATGAACCAGTGTGCAGGGCTGCCAGAGGCAAAAATAAACAGTTTGTGCAAACACACACTGCAGCAGTGTTGGGTTATAAGGCAAAGTATAACAGGTATTCATGATCCATCCCTCTAAAATGGTGGAATCAATGACTAATGGGAGGTGGGGGAGGAAGAGACAAACTTTCTGAGAACCGTGTCCAACAGTAAGTGTAAAGAAGTGACCCTGGTGGATGTGATCAAGCAGAACCCCACACGCTGAATGTGGATGCACATCAGAACAGGGGACTGAGACCCTGTCACAGCCAGGAGGAGTCTAAAGGAACTCAGTGACACATTGTAGGCAGGGAATCTGGCTGAGACCTTAGAGCTAAAAATTACTTAACAGCTAACTGTAAGGAAATCTTAACACCATGTGGAAATTCATGGTTATGGGTTGTGTGGTGGGCTTGAGAGTTCATGGCATGAATTCCTAAAAAGCCAGTCCCTTGAATGTGATCCTAACTGAAAATGAGATGCTAACATATACTTGGTAAAGATGAGGCCGGTAGGGGGCTCCCCCGGGGCAGTGTGACTGGGTCCTTCTGAAAGGGACATTTGAGCAGAGACACACACATAGGGCGACTCCAGGTGTAGGGTGAGGTCCTGCTGCCTCAGGTGAACTCCTGTAGCCAGGCCAGAGGTCAGGATCTCATCCTCCCAGTCGCCTCCCCCGGGAACAAGCAGTCGCAGGCAATGCCCAGGGAAATTTGCTGTGCTGGGTGCAAAGAGGTGGGAAAGGTGAGGTGGGAAGCAGGTACCATGTTGGGGAGGATATCATGAGCCACCATCACCTGATGAAGAGATGATCAGGACCCAGCCTCACTCTCAAGTGTCACTGTGCTGGATTGGTGTGCACGTGGGCAGGAAATAACCTTTGGTTGAGGCCCCTTAGAATGGACCTCATAGGGGAGGGAGACACATGGGCATCAGGAAAATGTGACTAGGAGGGGAAAGGACGTGGAGCCCAGGTTGCCTCCCAAAGAGTGGTGAGGACAAAGGATATACCACCTGCATGGAGCAGACACCTTATGGGGTGTGTCCTGGTATCTCTGTGCCCATGTTATGGGCATGATCACAGCCACCAGGGCCTGACACAGACAAGGAACAAAGACCCTGGCCCTCAGGGGCAGAGGTGGCTCCTGCAGCAGGGGATGAGCCTGGATCAGCTGAACTTCAGCTGGGAGAATATTCTGTGTGCTGGGAATTGTAACATACGTCACAAATTTCATATCATCACTTATAAGTTGTGATTTTAATTGCAGGATCATCATCTAGAGAACATCATAAAAGTGGTATAAAATGAAAACTGAGTAAAGCAATGCTATGGGTAAAGGAATTACAGGATATTGTGTAATAATCTTTTAAGTGCTAGGTCCTCAGAAATTTCTTGAATAAATATTTAATATTCCCCATTAGAGAGCCAGTGTCCATCCAGGGCTGAAAAATCACAAATTGTTATTATTGATAGGTTAGAAATATCAAGTAACTGACAAACTTTGACACTAATATTTTGTTAAAATATTGTAGGACAGCTAAGTTTTTTTGTTTGTTTGTTTTTTATTTTTTATTTATACAAGCACTGTGAACAGTCAGAAGCGTGGGAGGGTGAGAGAATTCACCAGAGTCAGAGCGGAGAGCAGAGCAGGCAGACCGACGAAGTACACTGCTGAGGGGAGCAGCGGGTGGCAGGAGAGGTCTGCGCACCATGTGGGACCCTAGCCAGTGGCCAGGGATCTAACTGGCATTGCAGAGGCTGCGGGCAGCTTCGCAACCCAGTGCTCAACTGCTGCGCCACCAGGGAGGCCCAGGACAGCTAAGTTTTAATCCACAACCTCGGATCATGTCTGTCACCTCTCTGTCACATATACTCTCCAGATAAGTGACAGCTCACCTCTTCCCTGTGTTCCCTCATGACATATTCCTGACCCTCCCATCCCGGGATATCTTTGCACAGTTCTAGACCTTTCATTGTCATGACTCTCTGCTGTGCAGCCCTGACAGCAACACTCACGGATTAGACTCTCCTAGCAAGTGGAGTCCAGGTCCATGATGAGGCCACCCTGTCAGCCCTGCTGGGGTTCCACTGCTGCTCCCCACTTCCCTCAGTATCCTTGGGTGCCTGCATCTCCTCTCAGGCCTGCTCTGGAAGGACCAGCATCTGACATTCTGTGTCCTTCTCTGTTGGATCTGCTCAGCTCTGTCACAGCCCATCTCTGTGAGCACCAACAGGCGGATCCACTCAGCCATGTATTCAGGCATCTTGTCCTCAGTGCCACAGTGGTTCCCAATGCTCTCCACAAGAGTGTCCCCACTAGTCCAACTACCCATTAGGTGAAATCAGTGAGGCATGGTCGGCCCACTCTTCCTCCTTTCTTTCCATGAAGATCACTCTCAGGACTTGGACACACAGGAGTCTAAGAAGTGAGATTTGGTTCTAGAGGGAGAAACGAAGGTTCTGGAGACTGCAGGGCACACCTGGAGACCTTCTATGGGAGTTGTTGCAGGACAGGAACTTCCAGCTGGGCAGCCCTGCAAGGACTGGAGGCCCCAGGTCTGGGCATTAGGCTTCCTGTGGGCACTCAGCAGCCCTGTTCTCAGTAGTCCTAGGAGACCCTCTGCCAAGGGTCTGTGTGTGGACCTGGCAGGTGCTTCTTCCCAGGGCCACCCATGGGAAGCTACTGCATCACATCCCCCTCCCTGTCTAAGGGCCCAGATGCTGAAAGTGCAGTGGGGAGAGGCAGTGGGTGGATAAATTTGCATGGGCAGCCCCACCCTGTGAGGCAGTGGGGAGGAGATAAGAAAGGTCTGAGGCACCTTGTTCAGAGTTGTAGGGAGCCAAGGGGCTGTGAGAACCATGGCCTGGACCCCTCTCCTCATCCTGCTCCTCTGTCACTCCACAGGTAAAGACAGGACTCAGAGACCCAGACTGTCCCTATCCTGAAGCATTACCACTGGGCCCCACACCCATCTAGGACTGATCTTCGTGTGCATGTGTCTGTGTCTGCAGGTTCCCTCTCCCAGCCTATGCTGACTCAGCCGCCCTCCCTCTCTGCGTCTCCTGGAGCAACAGCCAGACTCACCTGCACCCTGAGCAGCGGATTCAGTGTTGGCAGCTATACCATACGCTGGTACCAGCAGAAGCCAGGGAGCCCTCCCCAGTTCCTCCTCTACTATAAATCAGACTCAGATAAGTATCATGGCCCCGGGGTCCCCAGCCACTTCTCTGGGGCCAAAGATGCCTCTGCCAATGCAGGCCTCCTGCTCATCTCGGGGCCGCAGCCTGAGGACGAGGCCGACTACTACTGTAGTATATATGATATAAACACAGACCCTTCACAGTGCTCTAGACCCAGGGGAAGTGAGACAAAAACCTCCCCACTGCTCTGCTCTGCTCACAAAGGGAGCCTGGGGGGACCTTCCACACCCACATGTGTGGGCTCTCACCCTGCACAGACAGAGCCTCATACACATTCCTCAGCCCTGGGAGACCCTCAGGGCCTGGGCTCGTCCATGTCAGCAGGGACCGGGGCCCACTGTGCCCATCCCTTGATGCCCCACGCTCATTTCTCAACTCCAGGGAGGACTTAATCTTTGACTCCTCACCTTTGAATGGGAGATCAGGCCATTGGCTCCTTCATAGGGTTATGGGAGGATTAAGTTAAGTCATGATTTGAACATTTATGTGTGGCTCCGACCAGCTGCCAAGTTCATATGTTCTAGAAAAAGAGACTCCAGGATGTCCTCTTCCTAATTACCACAGACTTCTATTCCTTTCCTTATCACATTCCCATGACTTAAACATCAAGGCAGGGGCATGAAAGAGAATTTTTTTTCAATGGAAACAATATGAATTGAAAACCTGGAACTTTCAAATACTAGACAAGCACCATAGACCTGACTTCTGAATTTCTCTGTGTCAATGTATCTGTAGCATCAACACCGGGTACCCACCTCTCTCCTGTGAGTAGAGCACATGGGATAGAGAGAGACACAGGACATTTAGTGCATAACAGGGATAAGGGTGGTGATAGGAACAGACAGTGCTGACCCCCACCCTGACCTCAAATGCCCACTGGGCTCTCCTCTCACCCAGTTTCAGGCCTCCTGCCACTATGCAGAGAGCCTGGACATGAATCCCAACCACAGACATTGTGGACTCAAGGGAAGAAGTCCTTTGTGTAGAGATATGAGCAGAGCTGGACATATTTGCAGAAATCAATAGGCCCCTAATGGAATGCCAACTCTGGTAACTGGGTTCGGGCAGATGAGAACCCACAGACTGTGCATCTGTCAAGAGATTTGGAAAGCAATGTGTCCTCCAAATCCCGTCTTCAGTGCCCTTGTCTGTGTGAATGTATGGGGGGTGGGTGTGGAGAAGGAAAGTCAGGTCTTATAGCTTCATAAGCAGCGTGGAATATTCTGCCCACAGAGAGGGTGTTGGGTTGGGGATCATAGATGGTACAGGAGTCATAGTTTTGAATATGATGTTTTGAAATATTTTCTGAAATATCCACTGCTTCATATGTCATAAATTCCTAGAATTTATCTGTTGAGGCAATTAACTGAGCTTCCTATGAAGCCCTTCCTCTCTGGCATCTGACTGGAGGCACACCTGGATTATTTAACTTTTTGTGTAATGTCCTCAAATGGTTTTAAATGCACTTGTTTGTGCTTCCATGTCAGAGATCAAATACAATGTATGGGAATCACATTCCCTGGGGTCAGAGTCTGGAGACATGAGAGGAGAATTTCTTGGTGAGCTGCAAGACACCAGCTGGGCTCTCAGGGCTTCAGGCCATGGTGAGTGGTGTCCTGCGACCAGCAGGGGGCGCTGTGGGATTGCCCTGTGTTCTACACCCGGCAGCCCAGTGAGGAAATTCACACCAAGGAACCTGAGCCTAGGTCTAGGCCCTGTGGTCTGTCATGGGGACACAGCTGCTGAGGCCCCATCTGTCCTGGCACTGTCCCTGAGCAGGAGCCTATGTGTGGTGTCAGCAGGTGCTTCCTCCCAGGGCTCTTCCAGAGGTGAAGCAAATGCCTCCTCCTCACTCAGGGCGCAGGGGGGTGATGATCTATGCTCCAGCACAGGCTTAGAGAGGGGATGGGCAGTCCCTGGATGGAACCCCATTATCATGCACAGCCCCTCCTGGGGCAGAGGGTGAGGAAGAAAAGGAGGCCTGAAGCAGCCCAGCCCCCTGTGGGCTCAGGGGCTGTGAGCACCATGGCCTGGATGCCTCTGCTCCTCGTGCTCCTCCCTCACTTCACAGGTGGGGACAGGCTGGGGACACCACTTAGCCCTCCAGCCTCTCAGCACCCCTGAAGTCAAGCTGGAGATGCCCTGTCACCCAGGAATGTGTACATGCAGGTTCCCTCTCCTGCCTGCGCTGATTCAGCCCCTCCCTGTTCTCTGGGAGCTTCAGCCGGATTCAACTGCATGCTGGGCAGAAGCTTCAGTGTCGGGGCCACCACGCAGTCTGGCTTCCAGCAGAATCCAGGCAGCCCCTGCTGGGTGTGCTGTGCTATTATTTGATTAAGGTAAAACAAGCACTCCAGAGCCCTTAGTCACTTCCCTGAGCCAAAAATGCTTTAACAAAGGCAGGAATTCTGTTCATCTCAGTTCCACCTGGAAGAGGCTGTTGTCTCCTATGCCTCATGGCAGGAGTGTGATGCTCATCGGTGCTCCTGCCTCGAGGAAAATGAGACTCAACCTTCCCCCGTGCTCTCCCTCCTGGAGCAGTCAGAGCTGCTCTGGCTGGGATTGAATCTAACTCGGGGGCATCCATGTCACCTCTGGGTGAACACCTCTTTTTCTAGGACCCAGGTATGTGCACATGACTTCTCATTTTTCTTGGTTTAAAATTTCATTTTTTCCCATCCCCATCATGTCTCTACAGGAATAATGAAATTGTAGGGCTACCTAGAACCCTCCAGGGGGGTGATGGGTGAAGATGCAGGTGGTTGACCCCATACATGACCAGTCTAGCGTCTAGACCTGACTAGACTAAAGTCACCTCCCTTCCTCACCCAGGGGACCTGAGGCTCAGGCCACAGCACTGGCGAGACTGGGAGGCACAGGGTCTAGCAATGCTCAACAGCACCCATCACACAGAAGCTGAGAAGTGGATCGTAGCAGTGCAGGGGGAACCATGATTCTTTGTTGGGGTTCCAGGAAGACAACTCTGAGCACATCCCTCATTCCTCATCCTGCTTCTCTCTGCACAGGTTGGCAAAAGGGGTGGTTGGAAATGGCTCGAAATAGATACCTTCCCGGTACCTCCCTTCAGCCCCTAGTGCAGCATTGACCCTTTGCACTGACTACACAAGATACTAGGAGCATAGTCTTTTCCAGGTTGGCCTGAGCTGGCCTGGGTTGCAGCCAGCCCTGCCATGCACCTCCCCTGGGCAGCTGCTACCTTGCCCATGTTAGGTCTCCCTGCACATTCCTTCGCCCCCTGCATTTATTACAGAGAGGGCATCACCAGAGTGGCCGTGTCCAGAATCACAGTTCCGAATCCATGAGCTACCCCTGAGCCAATTTCTCCTTCTCATTGGTTCCCTGACGTTTTGGAAGAGGGTGACTCTTACTGAGCTAATTCTTATTCCTTTCCCCGCTGAAGACTGATTAGCGGGGATACCACAAGATGCTTTGCATTTGCAGGTGGTGCCATGAGGAACATCACCCCTCCTGAATATAGATTTTGGAGAACCTGGACCACTTGACTCTTCAGAGTAGGAGAGACACCCTCAGTTTTTTGCTGACATTGGGTGGATTGGTGAATTGGTGACATTGGTTGGATTCACTGATCATGTGATATTGAGATTATGTTGACACTGCTCTAAAAATAAAAGCTGTTAATTAAGAAACATAATGAATAAGAAAAGTAGGATTGGGTCATAATGATAAATGTGTATGTTCATTACTACCTGGTAGGATTTGTATCTGAATTAAACTGTGAAAACCGTTCACTCACAGAATGCTGTATTAATAAATGTTCTTAAGCATTCAAGAAAGAATGCAGATTGATGAGATAGATAGTTAAGCAATAATAATGTCCATGAAATAGTCACCTAACATCCAGGATAAACAGAGGCAATATTTGCAAACTGGCAAGAACCATAGAAAAATGAACCAAGTGGAACACATAGCTTATTCTTACAAGAGGAACTTTAATCGATTAAATTTATTAAATCTGTTAGTGTGCACTGGATACCAAGTGAATGGAAATGGAACGTATGGTGAGCAGGGGTGGGCTGAGTCTAGCAGGTGGAAAGGGCAGCTGTGGGCAGAGAGAGGCACAGACACCAACATGGTGAAGCAGGAGCAGAGTGGGAGGTGAGGGCCTCTCCATTATGGGCATCGTGGAGCCCGAATCTGGGTGCACATTTAGATTCAATCATCTCTCACCCCAAATCTTTTTTTTTTTTTTTTTAATAGAGGCATGCTTTATTTATTTGTTTGCTGGTTTGTTTGTTTGTTTGTTTACACATGCACTGGGTACAATCAGAAGCGCGGGAGGGTGAGAGAATTCACCAGAGCCAGAGCGGGGAGCAGAGCAGGCAGAAGGACCGAAGCACACTGCTGAGGGGAGCAGCGGGCGGCAGGAGAGGTCTGCGCGCCATGCGGGACCCTCCTCTGGTGGCCGGGGAGCAGCCGGGGATCGAACCGGCGCCACAGAGGCCGCAGGCAGCTTGGCAACCCAGCACTCAACCGCTGCGCCACAGGGGAGGCCCTCTCACCCCAAATCTTAATTAACCCTCTCCCCAAGAGGCAAGAGAAATACTCGGTTCCGTAACTTCTCTTGTGAAATCTTTCCTGACATTTCAGCATTCCACCAACTCAAGCACCTGCAAAGCTCCCTTGAGGCTTCTCCTAGAGAGACTGGAACAGTTTCTTCTGCCTTCAATGCAGACCAGAATCTGGGACCCTCACCGCTCAGATTCTGTGTGTTAAAGTTATCAGAGCTAAACCTGCCTTCCTCAGAAAGGGCAGAGAACCTGGAGGCCTGGTGAGCAGAGCAAGCAGAGCAGGGGGCTGCCTCGCGTAGAGGGTTCTGGGTTCTCCATGCTGGGGATACACTAGGAGCTCCAGGGATGCAGAAAATGAGCCTTTTTACCACAAGGACTTACAGATCTCCTCCTAATTCAAACCAAATCCAACGTGATGCCAAATGAGTGCTTATCAGTGCAGCCCCTGGCGAGGTAGCCAAGAGAGAAAAAAATGGAGAACAGGTGGACTATTTGGGCAGTGGCCCGTGTGGGGGTGCGGCTGGGCGGGTGGGGACTTGTTCCATGGAGGCCTGTCTATGGGAATGGCATCTACTTTGGGGCTTGGGGAATGAGTAGGATGGAGATAGATGTAGCTGCATACGTCAGTGCATTCCAATCAGAGGAAAGAACACAAAGGCAAAGATTCAAATAAATGACAAGGTGGTTTTAGCCTGTGCACTAGATGAGCAGGGAAGACTTCCAGGAGAATCCCCTGGAAAGCACTGGCAATGCTGGAGATGGAGGGAGGGTCCAGATCATTGTGATAAATGACCCTTAGAGGGTGCAACGTCACTGACTGTGGGGGTACACATCCACCTGGCATCTGCTCACTACCTTCCAGCTGCACTGTGAATAAATTGAGCAAGAACAGGCTGGAGACTGCTGCTTTCGGTCTGGAGGTGGCGGGCAGGGGGGTGGGGGGGGGTTGCGCAGAGAAAAAATGGGCAGGTCTAGGTGAGTTAGAGGGGAGATGGAGAAAAGAGAGAAGAATGAAAATTTTCACTGTAGGCACACTCACGGGAACAGGCACTACTCAGATGTCATGTGGATGTGGGTGTGTCCAGGGTGACCTGTGTTTCTGGTTCTCTACTGGGTCGCTGCTTTCTAAGTTAGCATCACAAACTCAAGGTACTAATCAGGTACAGCCTTTCTCACTCTAGATGTGGTCAGTGAGGGGTTACCTGATGAGGCGCCTCCTCTGCCGCCTAAGGAGCAGAGTGCTTCCCCCACAGCCCTTTGCATGTCGGTTACCCCACCAACTTCTAAAATATGCAAGTAAATTCAGTTGCAAACATTATGGAATAACTGGGTTAATGGCTGATGCAAAGGAAACGGAGGAGCAGCAAGAGCATGCACACAAAATGCCTCGAAGGAAACACATTTCCTCGGTATTTTCATTTTATTGTTCAGAGGCAGAGAGGCTGGTCCCAGTTCTCTGGCAGGTTTATAATGACAACGAATGGACGACTGATGGACAAGATCCAGTCACTGTTAACTTCCTCAGCAATAGGCTTAAGCTACTGCTTTCACTCCCTGCACCCCAACATATATAGTCACGCTGGGCACAGAGTCAACATCTACAGAGGAAACTGTCACTCGAGTGTTAGGGGAGTGTCACAGGGGGAGCATGTATCGACCTTAATGTGTCCTTTTCAACTCAAGTGTCTCCACATTGTCCAAGTATCTGAATGGTTAGACATGGTGAGGGCTCCCCGAAGTCACCCTTACCCATAAATCTTCTATACTTGCTTTTGCATGCAAAAATCTACCACTTTCATTTATTTCTTTAAAGATTTATTTATTTATGCTTACAAGAGCTGGGGTACAGGCCAGAGGTGTGGGGGGTGAGAGGATTCACCAGAGACAGAGTGGGGAACAGAACAGGCAGATTGACTGAACTACACTGGTGAGGGGAGCAGCAGGCCAGTCAGGAGAGGTCTGCTGAGCCATGTGGATTGCTCCCTGGGTGGCTGGGGATCGAACTCCTGCTGCAGAGGCTGCCACTGCTTCATAGTGCTGTGCTTAACCACTTGCACCACCAGGGAGGCCCACACCACATTCATTTAATTAGCCCCCTAGAACACAAATATTTTGCCTTCAGACAAGTATAATATTTTGCGTTCAGATGGTGCAAAAGTTGAACTCAAGAAATGAGATGCCCATTCTAACTCACAGATGGAGAGATTATTACCCCCTGTTCCTTAAACTGTCAAGCCCTATACAATCAATGTGACTCATGATTTAACATGAGTCTTCTACAATTTGGCAACTTGAGCACAGAAACTGGTCTTTAGAGTCCAGCTCTTGTGTGAAAGCCGCCGTGTCCAAACTGTCTTTAACAGTCCGCCCTGTTTGCCGAGGATCCAAGAACAGTTCCCTTCTCTGAGGGAAGGTAGAACCAGCACTGCAAGCTCTGTTTGCCTCTCCTTGTTCTCATCAGACAGGAGTTCAGAGAGAGGGTTTCAGAGCACAGTTGCCAGGGAAGGACGGCTCAGGACTCACTATTTTCTTTGTAAAAATTTCATCAAATTCCCTCTTCAAACCTGTTCTCATTGTATCAGAAAGAAAAAGACTGGGAAGATGGGTAATATTTCTGTCAGCTTCAACTTCTTCATAAGCATCATATTCAATTTCCTGAGGCCTCTTTTGAGCAACTTCACACTGTGGTTCTCAGTTTCCTGCTCCAGCTCTTCATAGGTAACATCTAACATGCTGCGTGCAGAAGGCCATAGGGCATGAATTACCCTGATCCTGACCCCCTCATGTGCACATGGACCCTGTCATTAAGACCAGCGCAGATATATGTGTTCCCATCAGCCTTTCCTTTCTTACCAGTCTTCCTCCTACTTCTCCTCCTCGTGTTTATCTTTACAGTGAACTGGAACAACTCTGTGTCTGCCAGCCCAGGCTGCTCAGGGGGGACAATGCTGGGTCCAGGCTGCAGGGCCAGCTGGTTGTTGGCACAGAAAAAATGTTCACCTTTCCTAATAATTAGGGAAATGAAAATCAAAATCACAATGAGATATCATCATACACCTGATAGAACTGCAATTTTTAAAAATCTAGAAATAAATGTGATGGGGACGTAGTGAAAAGAGAACCTTCATTTACTACAAGAAGGAACATAATTTGGAACAGCCTCTAGGGAAACTGCATGGAGGTTTCACAAAATAAATTAAAACTAGAAATACCATAGGAGGGGCCTTCCTGCTGGCGCAAGGGGTTAAGCACAGCACTGTGAAGCTATCCACAGCCTCTGCAGCACGAGTTCGATCCCCGGGCAGCCAGAGAGCAACCCACATGGCGAAGCAGACCTCTCCTGTCTCACCCACTGCTCCCCTCAGCAGTGTGTTTCGGTGAGTCTGCTTGTTCTGTTCCCCACTCTGTCTCTGGTGAATCCTTTCAGCCCCCCACTCCCATATCTCTGGCCTGTACCCCAGCTCTTGTATGCATAAATAAATAAATCTTTTAAAAAAAAAGAAATACCATAGGATACAGCTACTCCACTTTTGGTATCATTTTTTTAAAAGCCTTACTGTAGATCATGTAGGCATCTTTTCATTCACTGCAGCATCTTTTCATTCACTGTAGCATTATCTATAATAACCACAGTGTCAAAACAACCCAATTTTCCAGAGCAGATGAATGCATAAAGAAGAGGTGGTATACATTATATATATGAGAGAGTGAGACCATGAAATATTAGCCTCAAGAAATGAACTTTTACCAATTGTAACAACTCGGATGGACTTAAGAGTAGTACAGTATAGAAAATAAAGCATAGAAAGTAAGACAAATACTCAATGATTTGAATCATACATGGAACATAAAGCAACAAACAGAGCAAAACAAAACTCTCCGATACAGGGCAGTCTGGTGGTTCCCAGAAGGGAAGGGGCTGAGGGTGTGGGTGGAAAAGGAAAGGGACAGATGGACGGGGATGGATGGAAGCTAACCATCAGGTGATGGTCAGGATGTGGTGACCAGGTAGGTTGAGTTACAATGATGTACACCTGGCACTTAACCAAAGTTATAAACCAGTTACCTCAACAAAATGTGTTGAAGGGAAATAGGTCCCGTCCTGCCACTCCATGCACAGCTGTCTGAGATGGATGCTACTAAGGGGGTGACCTCGGATGCAGGACAGAGAAACAGCCGGATGAGCAGAGTCTTTCCTGGCACCAGGTGCTCCTGCAGCACACAGGGTCCCAAGGCTACCTCTGGTGGTGGGCGCAAGCACTGCCCAAAGCAGGAAGACAGGACAGAAACTTTGGATCTTTAAAGCGCCAGCTCTCCTGGGTGACAGGGAGCAAAAGAATGGAATCTGCAGGACACTGGGCATTCACTCAACCTGGAAGCTTCCGTGGTCTCCTGATGTTCTCTCTGCTCCTGTGACTTTCCAGAGAAGAGATTTAAAAGAGATTTAGATTTAGTCTCTGAGATCCCCAGAGACTCGGAGTGATGATTTGGTGAAAGATGTCAGCCCATCATTCAGTACCCCAGTCACCGAGCCCCGGTTGCTATGTGTGAGGTCCCAGCATTTGCTTCTTTCAATCTCCCCAGGAGACAGCAGGGGGACCCCGCAGCAGGAGGAGAGAGGAAGCTGATTTGCATGAAGCATCTTTCCCCCCTAATGGGTCCAGGAGGCATGAAAAGACTGAGGACAGTGCACTCCAGCCCAGGAGCAGAGGAGGCCACATCTCGGGAGTGTCCCCACCATGGCCTGGACGGTGCTTCTGCTTGGGCTCCTCGCTTACAGCTCAGGTCAGGGGAAGGGTCTCTCTCCTGGGCTGGGGGCACATAAAGCAGCATGACCCTGGTCTCATAACAACACCTGCCTCTCTCCTGTCATTTCAGGGGCTGATTCTCAGACTCTGACCCAGGAGCCATCACTGTCAGTGTCCCTAGGAGGGACGGTCACACTCACCTGTGGCCTTAGCTCTGGGTCAGTCTCTACTGGTAACTACCCCACAGGCTCCAGGCTGCGCTCCACACATGCTGATCTACAACACAAATACCCGCCCCTCTGGAGTCCCAAATCGCTTCTCAGGCTCCATCTCTGGAAACAAAGCCGCCCTCACCATCACTGGGGCTCAGACCGAGGATGAGGCCGAGTATCACTGTGTGCTGTACATGGGTAATGCCATTTGCACAGTGATGTGAACCCATGGGGAAGTGCAGCCAAAACCTCCTCAGATGCCCAGAAGGGCTCAGCCTCAGAAGGAAGAAAGAGAAAGGCTGGGGGTAAATCCCCCAGGGTTGGAGGGAGAGGCTCTGTGACCTTGTTTGTGCTGGTTCATCCCCAGGTGCCTCCTCCTGGTACCCCCATGTTGTGTCCATCTCCAGGGTGATGATCTCTGAGAATGTCCCTCCTCCCTCTCTTTCTGCCTGTGAGAAAAGGGAGGGAACCTCGCATCACTGTGTGACCCACGTTAAGTCTCACAGACCCAGGACCCCACGAAGACTTCTTATTCAAAGAGCACTAACACCTACACCCTCATCCATGACTTAACCATGCAGAGAAAGGAGCATTTCCTCTTGGGGTGAAATGGGAGCATTACTAGGAGCTTCTGGAAACACAATCCCCCCTCTCAAGCCACTGAGCAGAAGCCTGTGCTGTGAGCAAGTATCCCCTTTAGCCAGCATCCAGGAGACTTGTGTGAACCTGAAAGATTGTTCAGTACCCCTACCTCTATTGTTATCAAAGCAATGTTTAAAATCCTGTGAGAGTAACATTCCAGGACACAGTCGCTCTGAAATTACCCTTTAAAACTTTCAAGACCCTCAGAAATAAATTGAAAAACTGAAGGCATCACTGAAAATGTGGTGGATGTCAAACTATACTCAGGAATTGAGAATTTTCACACATATGTTCTCTAAGGATCTAAGAGTTTATAAAATCAAAATTTGATGAAGACAAAATATACAGACAACAGCTTGTGAGAATTCAGATGCTGATATAAGTATAAGATATTTTTATTCAATAATCATAATCCATTAATGACCAAGTACAAAAATGCTTGGTACAAACAAAAGAAAATCTCAGAACTTAAAAAGAGTTCTTAAATATCAACAAAATGAAATAATAAAATTGAAATAACAATTGAGCAAAATGAAAGCTCAGATCAGGCACTCAAGAAGAGGTCGCAGTTATTCATTTAAAATAAAAAAATGGCTCAAGTTTCTTCTACCTATTTCACCACATCACTAATATTCTCCTGTGTGTGCCACCAGGGGCTGCTGTGGGACTTAACATGAGGGCAAGGCTGTAGTGAAACGCCAATCATTCTATGTGACTGATTCCTGGCTGTGCTCATGGCCCCAGTGGCAGGTGACAGCAGGTGCTTCCTCCCAAGGGACACACTCAGACACCCAAACACTCCGGGCCTCCTCCTGAGAGTGAAGCTCCAAACTGGGATGCAGACGCAGAACTGAATGGTGGTGAGACTCATATTTGCGTAGTGCACCACACACACACCCTTACCCAGGGAGCTGAGAGAGAGAAAGGGACATCGCAGACACCAGCACCAGCTGTGAGTTCAGGGTAACTTTGGAAAGTCTTCGCATTTCACTGGGTGCCTGTCCTCCTGCTCCCCCTCCTTGCTCACTGCCCAGGTTCATGTGGTTTCAGAACCCAGGCTTTCGGGGAATCACTTGTCTTTTCTCTTCCTTCTGGTGTGTTGATTTCCTTTTCAGGGTCCAGGTGTCAGGCTGTGGTGACCCAGGAGCCCTCACTGACCACGTCCCCAAGAGGGACATCACTTTCCTCTCTGGTTCTAGCACTGGAGAGGTCACCAATGGTCTCCGTGCATACTGCTTCCAGGAGAAGCCTGTTCAGGCCCTAAGGACAGTGATGTGTGGGAAAGAGAATAAACACCGCTGATGGGGCCCAGTTCTCAGGTCCATCCTTTGGGCCAAAACTGCCCTCACTCTGTCAGGGGCCCAGCTCAAGGTGAGGTTGAGTACTGCAGCTCTCTGCCCGACAGTGGGTACAACACAGTGAGAGGCCAGGATGGGGAGCCGGGACACAAATCTGTGCTTGATGAGACCGGGTACAAATATGATCTTTTGACATCAGGATGACACACCAGACTTCTGAGCTCTCGGGCAGCCTGAATGCTCACAATCCTTAGAGAGAAATGTGCAGGAATAGATCTGAATTGATTTTCATTCCTGTTGAGGCCTATTGTGGAGGAATATTGTGAATCACTTAGGAGAATTTTGTCCAGAAAATTCAATTCCAATTCCATATTCCAGGAAGAAGAGTTCCTTCTGGGTCAGATATAAGGACTGAAGTCAAAAATACATTCTGCAGAAAAATTATCTCCAGTGATTTCCTTGGTCATCCAGATTTTAACAAAATCAACAAAACAAAACAAAAAGTCTTCCTTTTCTGTATTAATTTTATTTAATAAGAAAGCATTGTAATGCATTCCAACTGTGTTGCATTTTAAAATATAATGTCTTGGGAAGGTTCTTCTTCCCAAATGTTGCTCTTAAATTGCTTATCTTAAGAAGATATGTTGAGGTGAAATAAAAAAAAAAATTCAACAGATGATATTATTTTTAATTTTATTTTTAAGATGAAGTCTTATGGGAGTAGAGTGGCCTCCTAATCTATATGACCTCCAAGGACATTCCTTGGAGGCAGAAATTATAATTACTTAGCTGTAGGTAAAGAAACTCCAAACATTTCATACAAATCACCAGTAACTTTGAAAAGGCAAGAAAGATGCCACTCCTCATTTCAGAGGTAACAAGATACTGGCAAACAGAGTTTGGGATTTCTAGACTCCAAAATTATCAGACAATAAATTTATACTTTCTAGATTACCCAGTGTGGTACATTGATTGCTAAAGCATCACTAGGAGGCCAACACACCAAGCATCCCTTTATTTATATTTCTGAATTTGCATGCATTTGTTTCACCTCAATACTCAAGTTATTTTAAAAATGATCCATGTACTCTACATAATGAAAGGGCTGAAGGAGGAAAAATCACATGATGTTATCAATCAATCAAGATAGAAAAGACATTTATAAATGTCAACCCCATTCATGAGAACAACCCAGAGAAGGAGACAGCCAGGGCAGCATCCTCAGTTGTTAAAGGGAACTAGGGAACCCTGCAGCTCAGGTCACACTTAAGGTGTAACCCTGAAGATGCTCCCCTAGAGCTGCACGAGGCGAGCATGTCCACTGTCTCTACTTCAACGTAGACTGGACAATCCTGCAGGACCACAGGCAAGAAAAACCATGAAGGCCACAGATTCAAAAGAACAGAATGCATTTGTCCCCTTTATTACAGAGGAGATGATGAAAAGCATAGGCTATACAAAAGCAGCTAAAAATTTGTACATTTGTATATTCCAAGAGTCATATGTAATTCCCAGAAGGCTCTATAATACCAGAACAATAAAAATATTACTAAGGGGCATTTTTTAGATGCAATAAGGGAAAACTAACTTAAAATGCTAGCTAACATCTGTCAAACTGAAATATTTGGGAGTACATTTATAAAATGATATAAAAACATCCATGCAGAAAACTGGACAGTGGAGGTAAGTGTCATCTAAGTGACTGACATCAGTGTAGATGTGTCCGATTGTGGAGAGAAGACTCACCTTGGCAAATTATCAATTATTTTCAAATTGACTTAATGTTTATTTCAATTTCTGTTGAAACAAGATAGACAGTTTAGATCAGGGATAGACACGTATGTCATTGTAACAGAATAGAAAATGCAGAAATAGACGCAGTAATGTAGAGATCATTGTTGACAAACATGCAAAATTATTCCAGACAAGGACAGTCTTTTCCACAAACGGTGACAGAACAATTGCAGATCCACTGGGGTCAATGAATGACCTAAATCTCTTGCCTCATAAAAAATCACTTAAACAGTTGAAGGAATTAACTGCAAAATACAAAAAAAAAATTTAAGAAAGCATCGCTGAAAATACTGTAAAAATTTTTAATAAGACACCAAAAGCATTACACATTGCAAAATAATTTGGACATCAATAATAATTCATTGTTCTTCCTTTATTTTGTGAATAAGTAAAATGATTAAATTCCCTAAACATAGAAGGTAAAGATAGATGCAAAATAATGTACAGGAGAGTAGTTGTAGTGCATTGCTTTAAAACATATGATTTTGAGAAACTGAAAATGCATCCAAATTCAAAATTGTCTACCAGTGGAAGAATATGATGCTTGCCGTGTCTTCTCTGGTCATAAAAAATAAGCGTTTTTTTACGTCCATGCGGCATCTCGTCCACCAGGTCGCCACTGAGAGTGGGGGCGCCTCAGTGACCCTGTGCAGCACGACGGGTCACACAGCCTGTGAGTCAGTCCCAGGAGTGTGACTACAATGTGACCTGGTGATGTGCAGACACCAGCTGGGCTCTCAGGGCTTTGGGTCTTGGTGAGTGTGTGCCCTGTGACCAGCAGGGGGCGCTTTGGGGCTGTCCTGTGAGTCCTGTGAGTCCTGAGCAGAAATGCCTGAGTACTGAGCAGCTGAGCCCTGAATCCGTGTGGGCTCTCAGAAACTGTGTCCTCTTGGGCTGTAACAGTCCCTTGAGCAGGGACCCGTGTGTGGTGCCAGCAGGTGCTTCCTCCCACAGTTTTCCCTAGGGGTGAAGCCAACCTCCCTCCGGCTCAATGTGGGCTGTGAGTTTAGCCCTACCACCAGGGCACAGGGAGGGACTGGGCAGTCCCTGGGTGAACAATTTGCATGCACAGCCCCTCCTGTGGCAGAGGGTGGGGAAGAAAAGGAGGCCTGGGGCAGCCCAGACCCATGTGGACCTCAGGGGCTCTGAGCACCATGGCCTGGACGCCTCGCCTCCTAGTGCTTCTCTCGTTTTGCACAGGAAACTCAATTTGGGGACAGAAGCTGCATGGGGCCCTGATAAATCCTCTTGTGCCCAGTATCCCCATCTCCTGTTCTCTCTCCCTTCCAGGATCCTGGGCCCAGTCTGTGCTGACTCAGCCACAGTCAGTCTCTGGGAACCTGGGCCAGATGGTCACCATCTCCTGCACTGGAAGCAGCTCCAACATTGGGAGTAATTCTGTGCACTGGCACCAACAGCTCCCAGGGACAGCCCCCAAAATCCTGATATATGGTAATGACAAACGGCCTTCAGGAGTCCCTGATCGATTCTCTGGCTCCAAGTCTGGCAGCTCAGCCACCCTGACCATCACGGGGCTCCAGCCTGAGGACGAGGCTGATTATTACTGCTCAAGTTGGGACAGCAGTCTGAGTGGTCCCACAGAGCTCCAGGCCTGTGGGGAAGTGAAACAAAAACCTCCTTTCTCTTCTGCCAAGAGCAGGCACCCCTGGCAGCTGCTGCTGAGGCTCAGCCTGGGGCTCTGCTTCTTCTCTGCTGCTGTCCTGGCCCAGGCTCCTCCAGGGCAGACCCTGGCATAGGCCCCTCCCTCCCTCTGTCCTCAGAGTCACTCCCAGCAGCACATCCCTAGCTGAAGCTGTCACATGGTATGACCAGATGAAGTCGGGATTGCCTCAGATGTCTGGTTTTAGGGCCAGCCTTAGCAAGCAGCCTGTGGGCCAGCCGTGGGGCTGCAATAGCAGTGACACTTGCCTTGACCCACAGCACAAGCCTTGATGGCACTGCAAGTCTCCCAAACCTGCACACCTGCCCTTGGGTTTGGACTGTGTTGTAGCTGCCCTGGATACTCAGGGGAGGTCTGGTCCCGCTGAAGCAAGGTGGACACAGTGAGCATCTGAGCTCTCTGTGTGACTCCATCCCACCTGACTGAAGGACCCACTGCTGTCCAAGACCACCCAACCTCAGCCTAGGTCTCCTTTGAATTGTAGCAGGTTTTCACATTCCAATGTCACCCAGTAATGTAAACAGACAAACCACGTTCAAGTTCAATGAGCAACAATCAAACAGCTGGAATTGTAAATGGACCTTCCAGGCTTGAATGGCTCGGACCCTATAGGTGGATGTAAAACATGGGAACAGCCAGATTGGGCCCATTCATAAGATAGCTTCAGATCAGATGTCTCAGGGATCCTGGAAAGACCTTCACAGACAGCTTCATCAGGAAGATGGGTTGGGACACAGAACATCACAACCTTCCCAGAGGCCTTCCCAGACCTTTGCATCTGATCTCCACTTTGATCTGAAGGCTGACAGTGGCATCTACCTCCAGTCCTGACTCTAATATTGCCTGCAGAGAACACCACCGGCCTGTGCTTGATGTCTGTAATACAACTGCTGTTGGCACAAGGCAACTGTAAGAGCTGTAGCACTGCTGCCGTTATCTGCTGCCAGTGCTTGTGGACCAGAGCTGGCCAGCATTACGTCCAGTGACCAGCACTCTAACCTGTACCAGCCACCTCTGAGAGCCTGCACCACTTCTCATCCTCCACTGCCTCCTGGTGCTCTTACACCCAGTGTTGGGTAGTCAGTGTCTGGCGCTGTCCAGTGACCTTCAGACTGGAACTGTTGGCTGCTGTGGTGTCACCTCAGCAGTTCCACCTGTGATCACCTCCTGCTGCCATCATGGTTGGGCATTGGTCCACCACATACCAGTTCCTGGGACTCATCCGGGGGATTCGGCCATCTTGAATGTTGGCCTTTGTTTTGGATGACTGGACACTGCAGACACGATCTGGTGCAAGTCAGCAGGTCATTTGAAGTCTTAGTGCATGATGATCCTGAGTTATTTCTTACAATTTTGTGCTTATGGGTGAGAAGTCACCGGCAGTGACCTGAGCCCAGCTTTGGCACTGTTTTCAAGGGTCTCCATGGAAATAGGAAGTCCTTGTCCTCATCAGCTTAGGACTGGTTACTTTCAGACTGGCATATATATATTCTTCCTCATTAAATTAAACCCAGGAAACATTTTCTTTGCTCCTGAGTGTATATGGAACCTCACACCCTCCAGGCTGTGCTAGAAGGATCAGCCAGCCCTGTTGTACCTGATTTTCTTATTTATCTAATAATAACTGCCATGGATTGCTTTTTGTTTCCATCTTGATTTTTTTTAAAGATTTATTTATGCATACAAGAACTGAGTACAGGCCTGAGGTGCAGGGTGTGAGAGGATCACCAGAGACAGGGTGGAGATCAGAACAAGTAGATCCAATGCTGAGGGGAGCAGCAGGCGAGACAGGAGAGGTCTGCTGGTCCATGAGGGTAGCTCCCTGACTGACAGGAGACCAACTCCTGTTACAGAGGAGGGAGCGCTTCACAGTGCTGTGTTTAAACATTGCGCCACCAGGGAGACCCTCCATCTTGTTTTTTTTTTTTTTTTTTTTTTAAGATTTATTTATTTATTTGTTTGTTTGTTTGTTTGTTTATACAAGAACTGGGTACAGGCCAGATGTGCCGGAGGGGAGAGGATTCACCAGAGACAGAGCGGGGAACAGAACAGGCTGACTGACGAAATACACTGCTGAGGGGATCAGTGGGCACAACAGGAGAGGTCTGCCGTGCCATGTGGGATCCAGCTGGCGGGGATCGAACTGGCACTGTAGAGGCTGCAGACAGCTTCACAGTGCACCATCAACTACCTGCGCCACCAGGGGAGGCCCCATCTTGATTTTTAACTTTTTTATTTATTTATTTATTATTTTTTAAAGATTTATTTATTTATTTATACAAGCACTGGGTACAGTCAGAAGCACATGAGGGTGAGAGAATTCACCAGAGCCAGAGCAGGGAACAGAACAGGCAGACTGACAAAATACACTGCTGGGGGGCAGCGGGCATGGCAGGAGAGGTCTGTCGCGCCATGTGAGACCCTCGCAGCAGCCTGGGATCCAAGCGGTGCTGCAGAGGCTGCAGGCATCTTTGTAGCCCAGCGTTCAGCCGTAATGCCACCAGGGGTGGCGCCCCATCTTGATTTTTAATGAAAAGGATATCTAAGTAAAATTATACAATTATGAAAATAAGTCCAAAAATTATTGTCCACGTAAAAACCTGCAAGTGCTTTTAAAACAGTTTTCACAATCACAAAAGCTGAAAACAAACAAAAATCTGCACAGAGATATGACGTACACCATTAATAAAATAATCAAAACTGGAAACAACTTAGATATCCTTTAAAAATTGGCATTTTTACACCATGGAATATTGATCAGGGTTAATATATATGAATAATACAGCCACAAAATGATATAATATATATGTATGTGTCTATGTCTTTATATTATTATGGAGAAGAACATGGAAGAAAATTCCCAAACTGCATGATGTATCTTATTTTAGAAGAAGCAAATAATTGGACAGTGTAAAATTATATGTAGTTTCAGGAATATAAAAGAAACAGAAGAAAAATTACATATGTGAATGCTGAATATTAGTTTTAGAACCATGGAGTTATTCTGTGATTCTGTAATGATGCATAAGTGACACTAAGACAATGTCAAATTCACTAAAATCTCACAGCACTGCGCAGAAGCTCCATGCTGTGTAGAAACATCACTGAGGGGTGGTGACCCCAAACAGGAGGCAGATGGGGTCATCTACCTGCTCTACAGTAGCAGAAACCCGCCTTCCTCTGGGAGTTGGGGGAGAAGCTGCTCCCATAATTCACTCTGAGAATGAGGAGAGGCCATAGGGGTGAAGGCCAAAGACACTGCCCCTGAGCCCTGGGCTCTGTCATGAATGGGATCCCCCCTGATGAGGCCCAGGGTGCTCATGGACCCCAAGGTTCTTGATTTCTACATGGGAAGGAATTCCCGTGGGAGTCAGTGTGGGCGAGCAGGGAATGAAGTTCTATTGTGGGGAAAGTGCATGCTTGAGAGTGGAGGGGGACATTCAGGGACTAGCCCCTGGGTCTTAAGGCTGCTGATGGAAACACGTGTTTAGTTAGAGGGACAGGCCTCACAGATGGGATCCTGAATGGGTTTGACAACTTTTGCTTAAAGAAAAGGCAGGAATTTACAGGCCAATTTGTTTGCCCAAAACCGACAGCCTCTCAGGGCCTGTTAGATAAGACAGGAGAGTTACACAAGCAGTGGCTCCCCTGTGGGACATAAACTAATAGGCTTAGAATTAATCTAGTGAGTCACTTTGTTCTGTAATGTGCATGACTATGTTTCAGAAATACAATTTGAGGGAGTAGGGATCTGCAGCCATTGTGCCCAAGTCCTGGTCTACCTCACCACGGGTCCTGTTCAGTGACTGAGGGGTTGGAGAAGGGAGTTGCTGGGTCTTGGATGAACAATCCAGAATGGGACGGGGTGGACAATGGTGGGAGCAGGTTTCTCACTTTGGGAGAGGAAATGCACGTGAGTAACCAAGTGGAGGAGCCGAGTGACCACGTGGTGATGGACGAGGGTGGGAGACGTCACGGGGAGCGCGTGCTGGTATCAGGGAGACAAACACGTGCATGTGGTCTCCTGGGTTAACTCACTCATCTCTGTACATGTGTTTCCCACTCTGTCAGTGGAGAAGGACTTACAATAATGACACTCCAATAGCGAGGAGTGTGCTTTTTGGCAGAAAATTGATTCCCCATACCTTTCTCTAATAAACAAGAGAAGGGTTTGTATGAAGAAATTTTCAATTCCAGGTTGAGAATCATTTAATATGAGCATGGAACATCTTGCTTTAACAGAAAGTAGTTTTTCAAACATTTATCTCAGCACAGAGCATCAGCTCACACACATACGCATACAGGACAGGGGTGTCACAGAGCACCTGAACACACTTTAAGGACCCCCAATGGGTGAAACAGAAACAACTGGAGCAACCAAATAAACAGACTAGAACGGGTGTGTATTTCTGTGAACATTCAAGTACAGAAAAATTACAAAGGACACAGACTCGAAAGAGTGAGAAATAATTATCCCATCATTCCAGATGAGATGGTGCAACACACAGAATATACAAAGGAATCTACAAATATGATGTGAATTCCAATAGTCAGAAGTGATTTCAAGGTTATATGATACATGAGCATTAGGAAGATCAGTTAGGTGTGTGTATACTAGCAAAGAATAAGTGAGAACTGTTGGGGGTGATAGGCTTGTAAGAGAGCACCTGCTCCTTGCCAGCTGACAAGGATGAGAGATTAAATCAGAAAAGGGAAGGGACTCCCTGGTGGCACAGGCTGTTGAGCACTGTACTGTGAAGCTGTCCACAGCCTCTGCAGCCCGGCTTCGATTCCAGCCGGCCGGTGAGAATCCCACATGGCATGGCAGACCTCTACTGTCTCACCCGCTGCTCCCCTCAGCAGTGTATTTCAGTCAATCTGCCTGTTCTGTTTCCCGCTCTGTCTCTAGTGAATCCTTTCACCCTCACCATGCATCTGGCCTGTACCCCAGCTTCTGTATAAATAATAATAATAATAATAATAACAGAAAGGTAAGCTGAGGGTTACCATGGGAATCAGGTAACCTCCAGCACAGGAGGGTAGCAAATGGTGGTTGCTGAAACAGGCAGGAAGCACACCTGTGGCCATTAAAGGCTGATGTAAATTCTAAAGCAAAGCAAAGTCTGGCCTGACTTTAAATAAAAGCCGGTGAAGGCAGGAGCCCTAATCATTAGAAAACCAGCAAGGTCAGAGTGAAGAGGTCCCTCGAACACCTCTCTTCTTAGAGGAAAGCCTCCTGCCCATCCCCCATTCCCTTACAGGGTATTCAATACAGCTGCCTTTTCTATCCTCCACCCTGTCTCTGTGAATACTTTCACCCACACAACAAAAAAAGAATTACAATAATTGTTTGTTAAAATCTGTCAAAGTGAAATATTCAGGAGCATATTTATGAAGGGATGTTCAGCTCATGTGTGGTAGAAACTGGACAGTGGAGGTAAAAGATACCAAGATGACGGACATCAGTGGAGACCTGTCCTGCTCGTGGAGAGAAGACTCGGTGTAGTAAAGATGCCAGTTCTCGCCAAATCATAAAGTTTGAATGATTTCCATCTGAACACCACAGACTGGTTTGGATAAAGGGATAAACAATAGGTCAGTGTAACAGAACAGAGAATGCAGAACAAGACTCAACTAATTGTTGACAAAGTTGCAAAATCCTTCCCAGGAAGGACAACCTCCTGCACAAAAGGTGACAAACATCCATCAGGGTTAATGCATATCAACTACATCTCACACCTTATGAAATGTTCACTTAAGTGTATCAAAGAACAAATTAAAACATGACATTTTGAAGAAAATAGGTGAAAATAATTGTTAACATTTCTTGGTAAATACTTATAGACAAGTCACCAACAGAATAGTCTTTAAAAAATATTAATTGGACATCATCCAAAATAAATGTGTTGTTCTTCCTTCGCTTTGTGAAATAGTAAGACAATTACTCAAAAATAGATTATTAAGATGCAAATTGACTTACAGAAGCGTAGTTGGAATCCATTCCTTTCATACACATGAGTGTGAGATACTGAAAATGCTTCAGGTTCTAAATTGCAGACCGATGAGGAAATGGGACTTTGCAGTATCCGCTCTGGGCAAACCAGATTTAAGCAGTTATGTATGTACATGCTGCATCTTCCCACACCAGGACTCCACTGGGAGTGGAGACACATCAGTGACCCTGTCAGCACGAAGGGTCTAGGACTCAAACCCTAGGTGTGTGACTAGACACAGAGACTGGTGATCTGCAGACTGCACTGGGCTCCCAGGGCTGTTACTCCTGGTGAATATGCTCTGTGACCAGCAGGGGGCACTGTGGGACTGTCCTCTGGGCCCTCAACAGCTGCTCAGTGAGGATATTTTTACTTTGGTGCCTGGGCCTGGGGCCTGGGCCCTGGGATCCCAGATGAAGAGTCAGCAGCTCTCATCACTCTGCCTGTCACATTCTCTGAGCAGGAACTTCAGGGTGGGGTCAGCAGGTGCTTCCTCCCAGGCCTCTCCCAGAGGGGGAAGCATAGCCTACTCCTGTTCAGTGCTGGGTGTGAGCTGAGCTCCAGCCACAGTGCTCAGGGAGGGGCTGGGCAGCCCCTGGTGAGAACCCATTTGCATGCACAGCCCCACCTGTGGCAGAGGCTGGAGAAGAAAAGGGGGCCTGGACCTGGCCTGGGCAATTATAGGGCTCAGTAGGGTTGTGAGCACCATGGCCTGGTCCCCTCTGCTCCTCATGTTCCTCTCTCACTGCACAGGTAATTGGCAATGGGGAGCAGGGAGGTGGAGCTGTCTTTGTCTTGAGACCCCAGCAAAATCATCTCCGTGTCTCTCCTTCTTCCAGGGTCCTGGGCCCAGTCTGTGCTGACTCAGCCACAGTCAGTCTCTGGGAACCTGGGCCAGAGGGTCACCATCTCCTGCACTGGAAGCAGCTCCAACATCGGGAAGAAATATGTGTACTGGTTTCAACAGCTCCCAGGAACAGCTCCCAAACTCCTGATATATAAAAACAGCAATCGACCCTCAGGGGTCCCTGATCGATTCTCTGGCTCCAAGTCTGGCAGCTCAGCCACCCTGACCATCACTGGGCTCCAGCCTGAGGATGAGGCTGATTATCACTGCTCAAGTTGGGATGACAGTCTGGATGGTCCCACAGTGCTCCAGGCCTGTGGGGAAGTGAGACACAAACCCCCTTTCTCTTCTGCCAAGAGCAGGCACCCCTGGCAGCTGCTGCTGAGGCTCAGTCTGGGGCTCTGCTTCTTCTCTGCTGCTGTCCTGGCCCAGCCTCCTCCAGGGCACCCCCTGGGGGCAGGCCCCTCCCTCCCTCTGTCCTGAGAGTCACTCCCAGCAGCACATCCCTAGGTGAGGGGTCTCCATGGAAACATAGTGTCTTGAGCTCCTCAGGTTAGGGCTGGTTACATTCAGACTGCTTTATATTCATTTTTTTCCCATTCTAAAATATTACAAATTCATTTTCTGTGCCCTTGAATGAATCACTGGACCTCACACCCTCCATGCTGTGCTTAATAGGATAAGTCATCCCTACTGCAGCTGCCATCTTATTTATCTAACTTGAATCAGTGCTGAGTACTTTTTCTTATTCTATGATTTTTCATGAAAAGGAATCAGTTTAACGTTATACAATCATAAAAATGATTCTAAGTAATTTGTCCACAGAAAAATCTCCAGATGACTGCTTATAGCAACTTTTCCATCATCATCAACAACTGAAAACAAAGAAAAATCTGGGCATGATGCTTATTAGCATCATGATGCATCTAATCATGAAAAATGGAGTCAACTTTGACACCCTTCGCAAGGTAGCGTTTGTGTACCAGGGGATGTTTTTCAGAACTAAGAAGAACGAACTATACAGTTACCTAATGAGACATGTGGTGATAAGTTGTAAGGAAAAGAAAAGTGACTGAAAAGCTCACCTGTGCCCACTTCCAGAGTGAGCTCACCCCACAGTCTGGCTCCACCTGCTCATCTCTATTAATGGTGTGTTTAGACCTGATGTCATTTACAGCAAATAGTTGGTTTCAAATATCAATTTTTGTCACCAATCAGTGTCTGTGTGGAAACAAGTGAGGGCAGGAAGGTAGCCTGGACCCCTGTTCTGGCAAGAGTGACAGTGCAGAGTAGGAGCCAAAAGGCTGAGGAGGGGGGAGTCTGCACAGGCCTGTTTTTATTTTATTTTTATATGTGTGTGTGTATGTATATTAGTGTGTGTGTGTGTGTATATATATATATATATATATATTTACATATTTGTTTATTTTTGTACAATGTTTGATTTCTCCCCTCAGGTATAATCCCCATAAAATTCCCACCATCAAGTCACCCCTGAACATCCCCATAGTCTCTTGTGCTCCTCCCTTCGCTTTTTTGACCCCTCTCCCTCCTTTTCCCCCACATTATGTCTCATTTCTAGTTTGCCTGCAAGATTTGTCTTTTTTTTTTCCTGGTGCCTTGTTCGATTTCCCTGTATTACTCCTGTAAGTGAAGCCATCCGAAATTTTCCTTCTTCCTTCTGGCTGATTTCACTGAGCATTATCCCTTCCAGCTCCATCCATGTTGCAGCAAATGGCATGAGTTTTGGGCCTTTTTATTTGAAATCCACCCCACCACAGCCACTTCCACTCCCCTGATGCTCCCAGGACAAAGCCTTTTCGGACTGTTCCTGGGCTGCAGCCAAGGACACACATTTTCATTATAGGATGAAGGATTCCTGGGATCTAATATCCAGCTTGCTGCCTATAGTCATAGTACTTTATTGAGCACATTAAACTAGCTATGATAATGTCTGTTGTAAACCTACCAAAAAAGAAAAAAAAATATGTATATATTCACATATATAAAGGTAAACATGTGTTAATTAACTGGATTGTGGTAATTTTTTCTACAATGTATATGTATATTAAATCCTCATGTTCTGCACCAAAACTATTTGTCTTTTCCACACGAGTTTGTTTGAAAAGCATAAATATTGGAAATCCAATTTCAAAAGTTATGTTTCTTTCTCTTAAGACTTATCACATTATTGAAATTCATCTCTCATCATATCTGTATATTTCCTACCTTCCTACCTTCACTTTTCCAAGTCTAGGTACTGACTGACCTCTCCATATTGAAGAATTCACTGATGATTTTCTCTCCTTCTGTAGGCAAAAGATTTTCTCTCCTTCTGTCTCTCCTTCTGACAATGCACTGAGAATTTAATAAAAACATTACAGAATGTCCTCAGTATATTATTGTGCTGGATGATGCTTGGGTAGAATAATTATATACACGTGTGTGTGTGTATATATATATATATATATATATTCCTATACACATACATAACATATACATGATATATACATGTCTCTGTATCCGTATACATGAATATATGCTTCCTCCAATAAGTGAATGTTAGACAATATGTTAGACAAATAATGTAGAATTAACATCTTTATGTTTTCATGATCTGTGGCAGAACACAAGCCATGGGGAAAAAAATGACCATAGAAAATATTCATGGGACAGAGAAAAAGTAAGTACAAAGAAAGGATGTTGCCAAGTTTAAAATAACAGCGGGATCATTGCTGGTATAAAATGCTACAGCACACAGGCCCCCCAAAGCTGCTCCACTCCAAATCCCTATAGAAACACACACACACGATAAATAAATCAAAGATGAGAGATGGGTAGGCAGATAGATAGACAGACACACAGACAGACTGACAGTAAGGAAAGGCAAACAGGAGAAATGACACTTTCTGAATGTCTCCTGAGGAGGTTCCTGGTGGGTCAATCAGTGGCAGCAGCACAGAGGCCCTGAGCTCCTCAAACAGCCCCTCACATGGCTCATCTGATCTAACGCATTGTGCACTGTCACCTTCTACATCAAGGGTGCCCGTGTACCAGAGTGTGACACTCCCTTTACTTTATGGGAACTTGGATTGTTCTCTACCTTGACTATTCTGTGTCTTTCCCCCAGATGTAAAAAGGAAAAGTTTGATATATGGAATGTCTCAGGGCAAAAGTCTTGGTATGAGGAACTACACATGCTGAAAACAGCAGTAGATGTTATGCTGAGAGTAACAAAATGCTGAGACTTCGCTAACTCTCTCCCTGATTTCCCAGGCTTGACTGGGGCCAGATAGTTACCAGTTCCCCACACTTAGGCATTGCCCATTTGCCTGCTTGTTTCTTTGATCTTTTTTTTTTTTTTTTAATCTTCTGCATGATTCTAAATAAAAATGAAACTGTTCTTTTTGGAGCTGGGCAGCAACTTCGTGGTGGAGGGAGGTCCAATTATTGTGATAAGTCACCCGAAAAAGGGTGCAGCATTACTGACTGTGGGGGTGACACACCCACTGGGCATCTGCTCACTATCAGCTGCACTGTTAATAAAATAAGCAAGAAGGACAGACTGGGGTCTGCTGTTTTCAGTCTGGAGTGTGGGTGGGAGCACAGAGAAGAGGGAGACAGGTATAGGTGAGTTAGAGAGGAGATGGAGAGAAAAGAAAGAATGAAAATCTCCGCTGTAGGCACACACAGGAATAGGCACTGCTCCAATGCCATGTGGGTGGATGTGTCAGGGTGACCTGTTTCTGGTTGAGAATTTGAATGGATTTTATGGTCCAAGTGAAAAAGAAACATACATGTATTAACCATGGGCTAAGGAAAGGAGATAATTGTATATATTTACTATTTTTATTCATAGACTTATTTGTTTTAATTCAAAAATATTTAGTGATCAACACCTACCTACCATGATGCTTCAGACATTTAATGCTCTGATGAGCAAACAAGATCAAGGTCACGGACAACTTGTGGGTTTTCCTGATTCCCACAAAATATAGTGAACTTGTGACTTCTGTGAATTAATCAGAAGGAAGCAGTAAGCATTTCCAGGAACGCGATGCCAATTCTGAAGTGAAGGACGGAGAGCAATTCGTTCAAGCAGTCTTTGTAAATCTCTATGGACAGCCATACCCTCTCTAAATGTGATATTAGCAAACTGCTGTTTTTTTTCCACTAACTCTGGATTAAAGTTAGAATAATTTTGCATTATATACACAAAAGATTTTATTTAAATATCAAACATTAAATGTTTTCCTGACTACCCAGAGGGACAGCGAGAAAGTAGGAACAACAGGCAAGAGGAGAAACAGCCCAAGCAACATCCTCCGACCTTCCTGGCAACTGTTGAAGGGGCGGATTTCCTAGTAGTTGCAGAAATGCCTGAGAGCTGGTTTCCAAAACGTTAACCTCTACCTGGGTCATCCATTCTTTTTCTATACAGGCTATCTGATCCCACAAAGTGGGAGCGAACAATCCAAGGAAAGGAAACAAAAAGCCAAGGGCGGGGCCCCTGCTGTGTGAGGGAAGGGCCTGTCCTACACTACCCAACTGGTCTCATCAGTGACAGTGGGTGGGCGGTGGCACTAGAGGAACTGTCATTTTACCTTGCACTGTGAGTCCTTCCCACAAGGAATTTCTCCTGGAGAAATAAAAATTTCAACCCTGGTCATTCATCCCCAAAAGACACCATGAGCCTGATTAAGTCCTCCAAGTAGGGATCCCCTGCAGCGGACACTGTTGTCCACTGACGTTCAGGCTCACCCCACAGTAGTGAAGCACCTGGCAAATCTGTGATTTCAGTAAATGTCTCTTGCCCCTACTTCTCAGTTCACTATTCAGTCACTGCTTTCTAAATTTGTTTCACAAACTCAAGGTACTAATCAGGTACAGCCTTTCTCACTCTAGTAGTTGTCAGTGTGGTGTTACCTGCTGAGGCACCTCCTCTGTCACCTAAGGAATGGGATGCTCCCCCACAGCCCTTTACACATCAGATTTCCACAATCTTTTAAAGTATCCAAGTATTTTCAGTTGCAAACATTATGGAATAACTGGGTTAATCATTGATGCGAAGGAAACAGAGGAGCAACAATAGCACGCACACAAAATTCCTCAAAGAAAACACATTTCCTCGATATTTTCATTTTATTGTTCAGAGGCAGAGGCTGGTCCCGTTCTCTGGGACCAGGTTTATAACGACAATGAATGGACGACTGATGGACAAGATCCAGTCACTCTTAACTTTCTCAAGTTAAGCTACCGCTTTCACCCCCTGCACCCCAACATATATAGTCACACTGGGCACAGAGTCAACCTCTACAGAGAAAGCTGTCACTCGAGCGTCAGGGGGTGTCACAGGGGGAGTATCATTTGTGCTTAATACATCTTTTTTTTAAAGATTTATTTATTTTTATACAAGAGCTGGGGTACAGGTCAGAGGTTCAGGAGGATTCACCGGAGACAGAGCAGGGAGCAGAACAGGCAGACTGATTAAATACACTGCTGAGGGGAGCAGCGGGCACAACAGGATAGGTCTGCATCACCATGTGGGATTCTCCCCAGCCGGGATCGAAACCGCGCTGCCGAGACTGCAGACAGCTTCACAGCACTGTGCTCAACCCCCTGCGCCCCTGCGGGGCCTTAATACACCTTTTTTCACTCAAGTGTCTCCATGTTGTCCAAGGATCTGCATGGTTAAGGTTGGTGACAGCTCCCTGAAGTCACCCTTACCCATAAAACTCCTATACTTGCTATTGCACACACAATCTCACTCTTTGATTTAATAAGCACCCTGGAATACTAATGCTTTTCCCTTCAGTCAATTCCCTTTCAGTATGAATTGCAAAAGTTGAATTCAAGTCAATTCCCTGGTGGCGCAGGCGGTTGAGCACAATGCTGTGAAGCTGTCCGGAGCCTCTGCAGAGCAGTTCAGTTCTATCTCCGCCAGCCTGCTAGGGTCCCCCATGACACAGCAGACTTCCCTATCTCGCCCGCTGCTCCCCTCAACAGTGTATTTCTGCCTGTTTTGTTCCCTGACTGTCTCTGGTGACTCCTCTCACCCTCCCGTGCATGTGGCCTGTACCCGTTCTTGTATAAATAAATAAAAAAAAAAAAAATCTTAAAAAAAAATGTTGAACTCAAGAAATGAGACTTCCACTCTAACTCAAGGTGGAGAGATTATTACTCCCTGTTCCTAAAACTTTCAAGCTCTATACAATCAAGGTGACTCTGGATTGAACATGAATCTTCTACAATTTGGCAACTTGAGTGCAGAAACTGGTGTCTAGATTCCACCTCTTGTGTGAAAGCAGCTGTGTCCAAACTGTCTTAAACAGGCTGCCCTGTTTGCAGAGGATCCAAGAACAGTTCCCTTCTCTGAGAGAAGGCAGAGCCAGCACTGTGAGCTCCGTTTGCTTCTCCTGTTTCATCAGAAAGGAACTCAGAGATAAACACATGCAATTTGCAGCAACATGGATGGCGCTGGAAGGGATCATGCTCAGCAAAATAAGCCAGAAAGAAAAAGAAAAATACTGGATGGTCTCACTCATAGCAGGAATCTAGAAAACTTAAATAAGGGACCAGGAAAATGAATAACTATAAGAAAGTGAAAATCAAAATCAACAAACAACTATGAACCAGAGACACTCTATGGGTGGTGGGGGTGGGGAGGGAGGGATTGGGGTCAAAATAAGGGGATTGCAATTGTATGGGGAATATAAAAATAAATTTATTAAAAAAAAAAAAAGAAAGGAGCTCAGAGAGAGAGTTTCATTGTGCAGTTGCCAGGGAAGAATGGCTCAGGACTCGCTCATTTTCATTGTAAAAATTCACCAAATTCCCTCTTGAACCTGTTCTCATCGTATCCGAAAAAATATAGGCTGGAAGATGGTTTATATTTCTGTCAGCTTCAACTTCTTCAGCACCTATTCTGTCTTCAGTTTCCTGACACTCCCTTTGAGCAACTTTATGCTGTGGTTCTCCACTTCCCTGCTCCAGCTCTTCACAGATAATGTCTAACACACTGCATGCAAAAGGCCACTAGGGCATGAATTACCCCCTGATCCTGACCTCCTCATGTGCACATGGCCCTGTCATAAGACCAGCACAGCAGTATGTTCCCATCAGCCTTTCCTTTCTTATCAGACAGTCTTCCTCCTATTTCTCCTTCTCCTCATGTTTTTTTTTTACAGTGAACTGAAACATCTCCGTGTCACATGCCAGCCCAGGCTGCTCAAGGGGGACAAAGCTGGGTCCAGGCTGCAGGGCCAGCGGTTGCTGGCACTTGAAAAAATTGTTTGAAAAACAATTTGAAAAAAAGGACTTGTTCACCTTTCCTTTTAATTAGGGAAATGAAAATCAAAATCACAATGAGATATCATCATACACCTGTAAGAATTGCAACTATTATAATATCTAGAAATAGACATGATGGGGATCTAGAATAAAGGGAACTCTCATCCACTATTACTAGAAATGTAAATTGGAACAGCCGCTCATTAGGGAAAATCACATGGAGGTTTCACAAAAAGAGATATTTATATGGACTAGAAATATTATAGAATACAGCTACTCCACCATTGGGTATTTATATTTTTAAAAAAGAGCTTAGCTAGGGCCTCCCCAGTGGTGCAGTGGTTTAGCGCTGGGCTGCGAAGCTGCCCACAGCCTCTGCAGCACCGGTTTGATCCCCGGCTGCTGGTGAGGGTCCCACATGGCGCGACAGACCTCTACTGCCATCCGCTGCTCTCCTCAGCAGAGTATTTCGTCAGTCTGCCTGTTCTGCTCCCCGCTCTGGCTCTGGTAATTCTCTCACCCTCCCAGGCTTCTGACTGTACCGAGTGCCTGTATAAGTAAATAAATAAGTCTTTTTAAAAAAAGAGCTTAGCTATAAAAGATATAGGCATCCCTTCATCCATTGCAGCATGATCTATAATAGCCAAGTTGTCAAACAGCATAATTTTCCATCAGCAGATGTGTGCATAAAGAAGACGTGATATACATTATATATATGAGAAATATATATCCTGAAATATGACTGCCACAAAAAAAGATGAAATTTTGCAAGTTGAGAGCACATGGATGGACTTTGAGAATATTATGGTAAAGGAAATAAATCAGAGAAAGTAAGACAAATATTGCATAATTTCAATCATATGTTGACCATAAACAAAGCAAAACAAAACTCTCTGATACAGGGCACAGTCTGGTGGGCCACAGAAGGGAAGGGGCTGAGGGTGTGGGTGGAAAAGGAAAGGGACAGATGGACGGGGATGGATGGAAACTAACCCTTCGGTGATGGTCATGACATGGTGACCACACAGGTTGAGTTATAATGATGTACACCTGCCACTTACACAACAGTATAAAACAATGCCACCTCAATAATTGTATTGAAGGGAAATAGTCTCCACCCTGCCACTCCATGCACAGCTGTCAGAGATGGATGCTACCAAGAGGGGGTGACATTGGATGAAGGACAGAGAAACAGCCAGATGAGCAGTCTTTCCTGGCACCAGGTGCTCCTGCAGTGCACAGGGTCCCGAGGCTCCCTCTGGTGGTGGGTGCAAAGCAGGAACACAGGACTGCCCAAAGCAGGAAGATAGGACTTGACCTCTGGATCTTTAAAGCACCAGAATCCTGGGTTACAGGGGAGAAAAGGAACAGAATCTGCAGGGCTTGGACTCAAACTCAACACTTGCCTTGTCTCTTGATGTTCTCTCTAGTCCTGTGACTTTCCAGAGAAGAGATTTGGGACTGAGACCCCAGAGACTCAGAGTGATGATTTAGTGAACGATGTCAGCCCATCACTAGTGTCGTCACTGAGCACCCACTGTTGTGTCTGAGGTCCCAGCATCTGTTTCTTTCAATCTCCCCAGGAGACAGCAGGGTGAACCTGGGGCAGGAGGAGAGGGGAAGCTGATTTGCATGAAACATTTTTCCCCGAAATAGTTCCAGGAGACATGAAAAGGCCGAGGACACCGCACTCCAGCCCAGGAGCTGAGGAGGCCACATCTCGGGAGTGTCCCCACCATGACCTGGACGGTGCTTTTGCTCGGGCTCCTCGCTTACAGCTCAGGTCAGGGGAAGGGACTCTCTCCTGGGCTGGGAGCACATAAAGTAGCATGACCCTGGTCTCATAACAACACCTGCCTCTCTGCTGTGATTTCAGGGGCCGATTCTCAGACTGTGACCCAGGAGCCATCACTGTCAGTGTCCCTAGGAGGGACGGTCACACTCACCTGTGGCCTTAGCTCTGGGTCAGTCTCTACTGGTAACTACCCTACCTGATTCCAGCAGACTCCAGGCCGTGCTCCGCACATGTTGATCTACAACACAAATACCCACCCTTCTGGAATCCCAAATCGCTTCTCAGGCTCCATCTCTGGAAACAAAGCCGCCCTCACCATCACTGGGGCTCAGACTGAGGATGAGGCCGAGTATCACTGTGTGCTGTACATGGGTAATGGCATTTACACAGTGATGTGAACTCATGGGGACATGTAGCCAAAACCTCCTCAGTTGCCCAGAATGGCTCAGCCTCAGAAGGAGGAAAGAGAAAGGCTGAGGGTAAATCCCCTGGGGGGGAGAGAGGCTCTGTGACCTTGTATGTGCTGGTTCATTCCCAGGTGCTTCCTCCTGGCCTCCCAGGTTGTGTCCATCTCCAGTGTGAATCCTGGGGAATATGTTTGTGTCTCCTCCCTCCCTCTCTGCAGGTGATGACCAGGAGGGCCCCCAGCTCCCCAGCAAGCCTGCTGCACCCCCAGGAAGGCTTCTTATTCAAACAGCACTAACAGCTATACCCTCATCCATGAATTAAGCATGCAGAGAAAGGAGCATTTCCTCTCAAGGTTAAATGGGAGCATTACTGGGAGCTTCTGAAAATGAAATTCCCCTTCTCAGCCCACTAAGCAAAAGCCTGTGCTGTAAGTTAAAGCCTGTGCTTTAACCAGCATCCAGGAGACTTGTGTGAACAAGAAAGGTAGTGCTGTGTCTCTACCTCTATTGTTATCAAGGCAATGTTTAACATGTTGTGAGGGTGACATCCCATGACACATTCACCCCCCCTCCAAATTACCATTCAAAATCCAAGACCCTCAGAAACAGATTTAAAAATGAAGCCATCACTGAAATTGTGGTTGAAATCAAAATACAGCCAGGAATTGAAAGATTTCATGAAAGTTCCTCTAAGGATTTAAGAGTCAGGAAAATAAAAATTTGAATAAGAGGTAATAGACAGACACTAGCCGTGAGATGATGTAGATGCTGATATAAATGCTACATATTTTTATTCAACAACCATAAAATCCATTTTATCACTAAGTACAAAAACTCTCAACAAATGAAAAAGGAGAAAATCTTAGAACTTATAAGAGTTCTTAAACATAAGCTAAATGAAAAATAAATTTGAAAAAAACATAATTTTTCAAATTTCAAATGAAAACTCTCTTCAGTGACTCAAGCATAGGAAATAAGTATTCATTTAAAGTAAAAAAGGGCTCAAGTTTCTTCTGCCTACCTCCCCACACCACTAATATTCTCCAGAGCAAACACCAGGGGGCGCTGTGGGACTTCTCAGAGTTGGCCAGGCTCACTCAAATGGTTCTGACTGCAATCTGTGCCTGTGCTCATGGCCCCCATGAGCACTGACAGCAGGTGATTCCACACAAAGGACAAACACAGAAACCCAGATACCCCAGGACAACGCCTAGAATGAAGCTACACACTGGACCGAGGACCCAGAATTGACTCGTGGTGTGCTCTCATATTTGCATAATGTACCCCCAAAGCCACCAGGAGAGTTGAAGAGACATTGCAGACACCAACACCATCAGTGAGTTCAGGGGAACTTAGAAGTCTTCATTATGACCTAGGTTCTCAGTCCTAATTCCCCACCTCACTCACTGCCCAGTTTCATTGGAAACACTCTGTACTGAAATCCTTGATTTTTCAAATACTATGCAAGTGTCGTGGTCATGGCTTCTGGATTTATCTCTGTGTCAGTGTGATGATCTATACCATCAACACAGGGTACTCACCTCGTCACTCTGGTGAGTGGAGCACATGGGAAGGGACACAGGACATTGAGTGCATAGCAGGGCTCAGTGTGGTGATAGGAATGGACAGTGATGACCCCCATCCTGACCACAAATGCCCACTGAGTTCTCTTCTCACTCGGGCCCAGGACCTCTCTGTTACCCAGGAGCCGGAAGTGAATCCCAACCACACAGACATGGTGGGCTCACGGGAAGAAGCCCGTGTGTGGAATATGACCAGAGTTGGACATTTTTGCAGAAATTAATAAGGTTCACATTCAACCCATGTGCTCCTAGGGGATGCCAACTGTGCTAGCTGGGTGAGGGCAGATGAAGACCCACGGACTGTGCACCTGTGAAAAGAAGGGGAAAGCACTGTACCCTCCAAAACCTTGTCTTCAGTGCCCTCCTGTGTGTGTATATGGGGAGGGTGGGGTGGAGCAGGAAAGTCAGGTGTTGTAACTTCATAAGCAGAGTGGCTCTCAGTTTGTTCTCATGGAATATTCTGCAAGAAGAAAATGACATTTTAGGGCAACTCTTGCTGCTCCATTTTCATGCCTAATTTCAATACTTCATGGCATTTATTTATTATAACTAATGAATAAATTTTCTCCCTGACTCACAATCACTCAACTCACCAACCTCCTCAGAATATTCCATGAAGAAAGATGGACTGCTCCCCAGGGCTCCTCCATGACCTGTCTGAGTTGAAAGAGAAGATCCTCTGAATGACTGAAAGGAGAATGTGTGATCACAGGTATTTTCTCACGACCCCTGTGTCTAGGATTTGGGGGATATTTAAGTTGAAAGCAGAGAGGAAAAAGAGTTGTTAAGGAAATGGGTTATGGTGTCTGCAGTCACCTCTCCACACACAGCAACAGCAGGAACATTAAACTCTCACATTTATTTGTTATTAAATAAATAGAGAATAAATCAGGGAGGACAATTTTATTTAAAATACAAACTAATTGTATGTGCCCTAAGGCAAAAATCTGATGAAAAAATGACACAGATACACAGAAACTAAAATCTTAGTATTATACAGCTCCATAAGTCACTTCAAAAGATAAGTCACATTTTTCACTGGTGTGAGGCTTTCCAAAACCTGTTATTACAGCCAAGCACTAAGTCCAATATAATCTGTAAATAAAATGAAATGCATCAAATGATATTTTGAAATATTTGCTGAATTATCCACTTTTGAATATGCCATTGGGGTGATCCCTAGAAGTTATCTGTTGAGCCACTTACTTGCGCTTCCTCTAAAGCCCTTCATAGCTCACTGGTCCATCCCCTGCGACAGCTGACTAAATACACATCTGAGTCATTTAGATATTGTATAATGTACTCACAATCTTTCTATACTTACCAGTTTGCGCCTCCATGTCAGCAAACAAACACAAAGTGGTGAATCACAAGCCCTAGGGTCAGAGCCTGGAGGGTGAATCAAACCTCCCTCCTCAGTGTGGGGTATGAGCTGAGATCCTGCCCAGGTTCCCAGAGCGGGGTGCTGGGCAGCCCCTGGACAGAAGCCCATTTGCATGCATAGCCCCTCCTGTAGCAGAGGGTGGGGAAGAAAAGGAGGCCTGGGGTGGCCCAGCCCCAGGTAGGCTCAGGGGCTTTGAGCACCATGGCCTGGATGCCTCTTCTCCTCGTGATCCTCTCTCACTGCACAGGTGGGCACAGGCCTCCGAGACCCCGAACTATCCCTAGTCTGATTTGATCCCAGTAGATCCTATTCCTATCTGGGATCGACTTTTATTTGGATTTGTCATGTCTGTGTCTGCAGGTTCCCTCTCCCAGCCTGTGCTCACTCAGCCACCTTCCCTCTCTGCCTCTCCTGGAGCCACAGCCAGACTCACCTGCACCCTGAGCAGTGGATACAATGTTGGTAGTTTCAAGATATTCTGGTACCAACAGAAGCCAGGGAGCCCTCCCCGGTATCTCCTGAACTACAACACAGAATCAGAGAAGGACCAGGGCCCCGGGGTCCCCAGCCGCTTCTCTGGAGCCAAAGATGCCTCGACCAGTGCAGGCCTCCTGCTCATCTCGGGGCCGCAGCCTGAGGATGAGGCCGACTACTACTGCAACATATGGGATGGTAACTCTAATTCTTCACAGTGCTCCAGACCCAGGGGGAAGTGAGACAAAAACCTCCCGCTGCTCTGCTCTGCTCACAAAGGGAGCCTGGGGGGACCTTCCACACCCACATGGGTGGGCTCTCACCCTGCACAGACAGAGCCTCATACACATTCCTCAGCCCTGGGAGACCCTCAGGGTCTGGACCTGTCCATGTCAGCAGGGACCTGGGCCCACAGCGCCCATCCCTTGATGCCCCAGGTTTCATTTCCCAACTCTGGGGAGGACATAATCTTTGACTCCTCACCTTTGAATGGGAGGTGATGTCATCATCCATTTTATAGGGCTGTGGGAGGATTAAATTAAGTCGTGATGTGAATTGGTTGTGTGTTCCCAGCCAATTGACAATTACAATGTTCTAGAAGCAGATTCTCCAGGATTCTCCTCTTCCTAATGCTCCTTGACTTCTGCTCTTTTCCTTTTCCCGATTCCCATGACTTACCCGTCCAGGCAGGGAATGTAAAGAGAACTGTCCCCTGAGCTCGCCTCTCACCCAGTCCCAGGCCTGTCTCCTTAGCCAGAGCCTGGAGGTGAAACCCAACCAACAACCATTGTGGACTCAAGGGAAGAAGCTGTTTGGTGGAGATACAAGCAGAGCAGGACATATTTACAGATTTCAGCGAGGTTCTCATCCAACCCCTGTGGTCCTAGTCGAATGCTAACTGTACTAACTAGGCCAGGTGACATGAGGACCTGTGCATTGGTGAAAAGAGGGAGAAAGCAACTTACACTCCAAAACCTTGTCTGCAGTGTCTTCCTCTGTGATGTGGGGAGGGTGGGGGTGGAGCAGGAAAGTAGTTCTTGTAGCCTCACAAGCAGTGTGGCTCTCAGTTTGAGTGACATGGAATATTCCAGATAAAAGAATACTCTAGGGCACCTGCTCCTGCTCCATTTCATCTCTAATTTCAATTCTTCATGTCAATTCTTATCGATTACGGCCTTTGATAAATTTTCCCTCATAATCACACTCCGTACACTCACTCTCTCTCCTCAGAATTTTTCTGTTTTGTGGTGACTTGTGATGATGAAATTTGGACTCATCTCAGGGCTCTTTGCTCCTCCTGCATGAGTGGTGGGGCCTCGATACCTCAGGGGCTCACAGCCTTGCCCCTTGGTCCCTTCTGGGGGAAACAGAGGCCTGGCCTCCATTCCCACCATGCCGAGCCCACTCACCCCATGACATTCTACACCTCCAACAACACAGCTCAGCTCTGCTTGTCATGGGGCCTTTGCACAGATGGGATGTTTCAGTGCAGTGAGCTGAGGCTGCTGTGCAGACACCTTGGCTGTGGGTCTGGAATGTGAGGTGTGCTGGGTAAGGAGGGCGAGCCCTGAGCACCAGCACTGGCCCAAGATCCACATGCCTCCTGCCCCACAGGGCGCTGTGTCTGGGCCCTGTTCAATCCCTGCCACCTGAGAGCTGTGACAGCTGCCTTGTCCTGCAGAGGCCCCCCCCCACCTTTCCTGGGGTAACAAATTTCCTACCGCTTCTGGTCTCTCTTTATTCAGCTGGATCCTGGCTTAATTACAAGGCTGGTCTTGTGCAGTCATCAAAGTGGAATATTTGCATGACACCTCTCGCCTTCAGGATGAGGGGACATATAAGACTACTTGGTGGGCTCAGGTCTGGAGTGGGGTCAAAAATAGGACATGGGGGAGCATCACCCCCATGACCCAGGCTCCCCTCCTCCTCACCGTGTATGCTTACTGCACAAGAGCTGCCTACAAGGAATTCTGTGAGAAGACACCTACCTCCTCCTTGAGAACAAGCACTGCTTTTGTTCATTGTACAATAGTTTAGAGACAATATAAATGTCTGTACCCGCCAGAGCATAGAGCAATGCAGTGATATGATACTAGGGTTCTTTTCACATTCAGTGAGGAGGGGGTTATGTGGCATAAAGAGGAAGATGTAACACCTTGAGTCTTATTGATGTTGCTTGAGGTAGGATGAGATGTGAACCAAGTTTTGGATTATGTGCATAGTATTTCTTTCTATAAAATTGCTCACAGTATTATTATCAATTCTGTTTTACTGTCCAGAATAATAGGGGTGTGTGTTGCTGTGAATGATCCAGGGTGTCTGACAACCTGTGTCTTCACCATGATCCCAAGTCATGCCCTGCCCTCCCCTACACAGAGGAGGCGTCACCTTGGGGACCATAGAAGGGACAGGGGTCAGGATGTGAAGCCACGAGTGTAAGGGATGCTGGAGGTCTGAGAACAGGAAGAGTATGAGGTGTGTGAGGGGATAGGGCAGACCCTGCAGGTTCCTGAGGGGAGGCAGGAGGTGGGGTTCATGCCCAGAGCAGTGAGGGTCTTGAGGGGGTGAGCAGCTACTGACCTGCCTGAAGTGAAGGAGGAGGATCCTCTGAATGACAGAGGAGAGAATGTGAGATCACAGGTATTTTCTCAAGACCCCCAGAGTCTAGAAGTTTGGGGACTTTCTCAAGGTGAAAGCAGAGTAGAAAACGGGTGTGGTGAGGGAAATGGGTTGTGGTTTCTGAATTCAGCTCTCCACACATTCCCGGCTATGTGAAAACATTAAACTCTCACTTTCATTGGTTATTGAAACTGTCATAGTGAGTAAGGCATACAGGAAGGAAAATTTTATTTAAAATAAAATCAAATTGTATGTGTCCGAGGGAAAAATTCTAACAAATTACACGACGCAGATATTGCAAAAGCTAAAATCTTAAGATTACAAAACTCCATATGGAACTCATGAAATATGTTACAGACTTCACTAGTGTGAAGTTTTCAAATCCTTTCATTAAATCAAATCTAATCTGTAAATAATATTTAATACAATACATATTTTGAAATTTTTGTGAATTACCCAATTTTCAACATGCCATTGTTGTTATTTCTAGGAATTTCCAGTCTGTGACATTTCCCTGAGCTTTTTCTAAAGCCCTTCACAGCTCAACCGGCCCATCCTCAATAGCACAGGATGTAATGCTCTTCTGGATCATTTAATTTTTAGTATAATGTTCTCAAAATATTTCTGTAAGTTCCTCTTTGCTCCTCATTGACAGTACTCATATACAATGTAAGGAAATCACAGTCCTAGGAACCAGAACATGCAATCGTGAATAGAGACTTTTTCTCCTGAGATGCAGACACCAAATCGGCTCTTGGACTTTGGGCGAATGTGAGTGTTTGCGCAGAGACCAGCAGGGGGCGCTGTGGGACTGTCCAGTGTTCTCCACACACTAGGCAGTGAGATCAGTCACACCAAGGAGCTTGGCCTAGGTCTAGGCCCTGTGCTCCCAGGTGGGCACTCAGCGCTGTGTTCTTTCTTGTCTGGCACAACTGCTGAGCAGGGACCTGTGTGTGGTGGCAGCAGATGCTTCCTCCCAGGGTTTTCTGAGGGGTGAAGAAACCCTGCTCTTTCTGAGTGTGGGTGTGAGCTGAGCTCCTGCACCAGAGCTCAGGGAGGGGCTGGGCAGTCAAAGCTTGAAACACATTTGCATGCACAGTTCCTCCTGGGGCAGAGGGTGGAGGAGAAAAGGAGCCCTGGGGCAGCCCAGCCCCATGTGGGCTCAGGGAAGTGTGAGCACCATGGCCTGGACCCCTCTCCTGTTTGTTCTCCTCTCTCACTGCACAGGTAACTGGATTTGGGGCTGGTAAGATGCATGGGCCCCAGATAAGTCCTCTTGTTTCTAGAGCCCAGCATCACCATCTCTGTGTTTCTCCTTCCAGGATCCTGGGCCCAGTCTGTGCTGACTCAGCCACAGTCAGTCTCTGGGAATCTGGGCCAGAGGGTCACCATCTCCTGCACTGGAAGCAGCTCCAACATCGGGGATCATGGTTATGTGCACTGGTATCAACAGCTCCCAGGAACAGGCCCCAAACTCCTGATATATAGTAACTTATTTAGTAGCAACAAGCGACCCTCAGGGGTCCCTGATCGATTTTCGGGCTCCAGGTCTGGTAGCACAGCCACCCTGACCATCGCTGGTCTCCAGCCTGAGGATGAGGCTGATTATCACTGCCAGTCCTATGACAACAGTCTGAGTGGTCCCACAGTGCTCCAGGCCTGTGGGGAAGTGAGACAAAAACCCTTTTTCTCTTCAGCCAAAAGAAGGCTCCCCTGGCAGCTGCTGCTGAGGCTCAGCCTGGAGCTCTGCTTCTCTGCTTCTTCTCTGCTGCTGTCCTGGCCCAGGCTCCTCCAGGGCAGACCCTGGAGGCAGGTCCCTCCCTCCCTCTGTCCTCAGAGTCACTCCCAGCACCACATCCCTAGGTGAGGGGTCTTCAAGGAAAGAGAATTTCCTTTGCCTCAGGAATAGTTTTCTAGTTCTAAGGTGATTTGAATTCATTTATTTTCTTTGAGTTTTCAAGATGAGAAACAAACCTTGGACTGTGAACCTGTCAAGGGTCCTCAGCACTGACTTGGCTGCTCGGGAAGGATCGGCCAACAGTTTGCACCTGATATTATTTTTTGCTTAATTGAAAGAAAGCACTCTTTTTGTGTGATTTCCATGTCTGAGTTGGTCACAGGAAATAACAACAAATAAAATAATTAAAAATTTAAAAACTTTTCTCCTGAGATAAACATCTTTGTGAATATTCAAATTACCTAATTCACAACAAGCAAAAATGAAAACAACCAAAACTCTTCACCTGGATGTTTGTAACAGCTTTATGCATCCCAACAGCCCACCCTCCACCTCTGGAAAAGCACAGGTGTCTCTGTAGGTTGTACATTTAGGGCAAATTGAGAGGAATGAACTATCAGTCACAAGCATGGATGTTAATTTCAAATGGGTATTTCCTACAAAAGAATCATGTCTATAACATCACATAGAGCAGTTTGTCATTCTATCACAACCTGTAAAAGGCACACTCTAGCGATGGGGAAAGCTGAGCCACTAATAGGCATGGGATGAGGGGCAGGGGTGAATAGGTGAAGCACAGCCATGTTGGCTTGAATGCCAGAGATAGGAATCCAGTGAGTGCTTTCCACATGGCAAAGTTCATCTGCTGTGGCATTGCGGGCACTCGTGGGAAACTATCCTCTTAAGAGAAGCTAAATGTGCAGATTCAAACAACCCAGCAAGTCAGGGGCCAGGATGGAGCAAAAATGTGACCGGCCTCCTGCCTGCGGGATGGACCATGAACCCACCTCCCTAAGTGTGAGGAGGAAGCTGCTGACTTGGCAAATTGGAATCCTGGAGACTGTGAAGAGGAGGGAGGAGCGTGTCCTGGAGCACCTGTGCTCATGGATGAGGCTGTCCCTGGGGCCTGGTCTGGGATTGGATGTTTCTGAGCTGCGCATGGCAGATTAGTGATGAAGCAAATGGTTGTGAGTAGAGGAGCCAGAGCTCTCTCTCTAGGACTGGAAGGTCACTGCACACATGGGGAAGAGCTGGACTAGCCCGGGAGCCCTGATGTGGAGTGTGGAGCGTAGTGTGAGGCCATGTTTAGCTTCATGAGACAGATGGTTCAGGAGTATTTACAGATATGTACACACACCTCGGTAGGATGGTTACACAGATATTAATTCTATTTCAATTAAACTTTAAACTTCAATTAAACAGGTATGTTTTGAAAATATGCTACTATTGCCCTGTTATACAGTGAAATATTTTTTAAAATAGGTATCTATTATCGAAGTCCACATTAGTGATTTAATATATACTGTCTGTGCTGTCAGATGAGAGAGAAATCAACGGGACCCTGCAGGGAGAGCTGCTCTTTCCTGTAAATCCTGCTCCAATATGTGCTTAAGATTGTGTGTTATGATTCCCTCTACCGTCTTTCCCTTAAGCCTACACAACACACCCCCTCGACACACACATCTTGATCGATGGTTTCCTATTTCCTTCACAATCACTTAATGGAAATGATTTATTTCATAAACATGGTGTCTGCACCTCAGCTCTCCTGACAATGTGGGTTCATTTCTTGCGTGTGGAGGGGCTGCTTTTCCAGGGAGGACTTCGACAAGCCTCTGTGCTCCACACAGCACAAGCCAGTGATGGCCCCTCTCCATGTCAGGAAAAACAAAAGGCTGCCATATGTTGGAGATACCCTCTGGGAGACAAAATCACCCCATTTGAGATCCACTCAGTTAAAAGCCACTGTGGGTTTTAAGGCCACTTTTGCTTAGAGTCTGTCTGTGCCATTCAGCTGCACGAGGCACCTGTGAGCTCTCTGTGACCCGGCCCCGTGCAATAGACAGACAGCACCACAGCACTCAGTGAGGTCAGAGCCCGTGGCCTGATCCTATGGAGTCTTCTCTCAACCAGAGAGTGGAGTTTATGAAAATATGCGATTTTATAAGGAAACATTCATAAAAAATCATTAGGAGGTACAAATTTTTATATAAATTTTTAGAGGAGAAACCAGGAGTTCAATCAATAAAAAGTAATAGATGCAATGTCATAGAAATAATTCATTGTTCTTCATTTGAAACACATAAGTGAATAAGGAATACAATTACATTACCTAAAGAATAAGATGAAGTCAACTGAATAGCGAGTAGCTGGAATCCATTTCTTTAAGGGACCTGAGCTTGGGAACACTGAAAGTAGGGGCCTGTTCTAAATTGCACTCCAGAGGGACATGACGCTTGCAGTGAATCAATGATATAAGGTGTCATTTCTGAATATGTTTATATATTTATAGATCACGATTCCTTCAGAGATGAGAAAGTCAACAGCTGCCATGGACAGCTGGGACACACTGTGTAGGAATCAGCCCCTGGGTGTGTGACTAGAGACAGTGACCTGGTACTTGCAGACCCTAGCTGTGCTCAGAGATTTGGCCACTGTGCCCATTTGCATTGCAAGCAGCAGGGGGAACTGTGGGACTGCCCAGCGCTGTCCCCACCAGCTGTGCAGGGAGGATCATTCACTCAGAGGAGCCTGGACTTGGGGACAGGACTTGGGGGCAGGATATGGGCTCCCTGGTGGGCTGTGACCTGGCACAGTCCCCTGGGCTGGGAACAGTGTGTGTGTCAGCAGGTACTTCCTCCTAAGATTCTCCCAAGGAGTGAAGCAAACCTCCCTCATCCTCAGTGTGAAGTGTGATCTGAGCTCCAGTCCCAGTGCACAGAGGGCTTGGGTGGCCCTGGAAAGAACACAGTTTCCATGGACAACCCCTCCTGGGGCAGAGGGTGGGAAAGAAAAGGAGTCCTGGGGCAGCCCTTCCTCTGTGGGGCTCATGGGAAGGGGAACTAACAGGGGGCTGGGGGCACCATGGCCTGCTCCCCTGTCCTCCCTGTCCTCCTCTCTATTGCGCAGGTAATTGGACATGGGGACGGGGGCAGGGACTTGAGAATATGCACGGGGCCCCGCTTCCTCCTCTTGTCTCTAGAGCCAGGGTCACCAACTCCTCACCTCTCATGGTCCAGGATCCTGGGCCCAGTCTGTGCTGGCTCAGCTACTCTCAGTGTCTGGGACCCTCAGCCAGAGGGTCACCACCACCTGCAGTGGAGGCGGCATCAACAGCAGGAAACATGGTGAGCACTGGTACCAACAGCTCCCTGGAAGAGCTCCCAGGGAAGTGATATATGGCAACCACAAATGAACATCTGGGGTCCCTGATCGAATCTCTGGATCCATTTCTGGTTGATCAGCCACCCTGACCATCTCTGGGCTCCAGTCTGAGGACAAGGCTGATTATTACTGCGCAAGTTGGGATGACAGTCTGATGGTCACACAGCGCTCCAGGCCTGTGAAAAAGTGATAAACAAACCCTCTTTCTCTTCTGCCAAGAGCAGGCACCCCTGGCAGCTGCTGCTGAGGCTCAGCCTGGGGCTCTGCTCCTTCTTGCTGCTGTCCTGGCCCAGCCTCCTCCAGGGCAGACTCTGGAGGCAGGTCCCTCCCTCCCTCTGTCCTCAGAGTCACTCCCTGCAGTACATACCTAGGTGAGGGGCCTCCATGGAAAGATAGTCCTTGTCCTCTCAGGTTAGGGATGGTTATGTTCTGGCTGGTTTATATAATTTTGCCCTTATTAAATCAGAAGTAATGAATCATTTTCTGTGCCCCTGAATGTATCAGGGAACCTCACCCCACATGTTTTGCTTCCAGGATGGCAGCCCTGCTACTGCTGATGCTATTATGTATCTGGCTTTACCAGGTAGTGGTTATTTATGTCTATTTTTTGATTTTTGGTGAAGAGGGTATCAATATGAAATTAAACATTAATATAAATGAGTCGAAGACACATTGTCCACAGCAAATTCTGCCATGACTGCATGATAATCAGCAAAAAAACAGAAATCAGAAATCAAATAGAAATTGACACACTATATTTATTACAGATTTAGAATAATCACCAGAAGTATACAATCAAATTACATATGTGTATATAGATATACGCACATATAAACATTCCTTCACATGCACACAGATATGCATTGAGAATTATATTGCTTAGAAAAAGAAAATGAGAGAAATGTTAGCAAACTGTGAGTTGCTAATTGTATCCTATTTTTAAGAACCCTAATTCTTTAGAGGGAAAAATCATCAGTACCAACAGGAATATAGAGGAAGAGAAGAAAAATTGGAAATGTGAGCACTGGAAATTAGTTTTAGAGCAGTGGGATTATTCTATGCTGATGTGGTGGTGCTTATGTGACCCTATGGAAATCCAATATCACCTGGCAGCAGCAGTGCAGACACTTCATGGGGCACAGACACACCCTGAGCCTTGTCATTCCCAGCCTCCCCTCTGTGCTCTAGCTCTGTCAGACCTGCTGTGGAGGCAGGGGACAGAGACTGGGGCCAGGTCCACTAAATAGGGCCACCTCCTGTGGCCTCAGCAGGAGGTCTCATCCAGGGAACAGAGGGGGGAACTGCATGAAAAGTCCCTCTCTCAGTTGCTTGAGGGAAGATGAAGAATCCAGCTGGCCCAAAGATGTTGGGGTGCAGAACCCATGGTTGGCTGCACCCATATCCTGGACCCTTATCCTCCCCCATGTTTCTCGCTTTCTAAAGAGGTGACAGACTTGAGGTGCAGAGGGCTGATTTACTCTCTGCCTCACCTCATAAACTGATGTGTTGTCACGGGGCAACTTTGAAGGAGACTTGGCATGACACGC